AAGAAGGATAAACTTTTAAAGGACCTTGACACCTGGTAGAGTGAGAAAGCACAAGTACGTTGGTTCACGATGAGACAAAGAACAGACTTCTGGGTTTTTTAAAAGCTGTTTCTAAGATATTTACATTTGTGCTAGTAAAATATCACCACATCCATGCATGAATCATGCAGTGTTCTTTTACTTCTTGAAATTTGAAATCCAGGCTTTAAAGTATGCTTTTATCCTCTAAGAGTTATAGCTTATGCAAACTGTTAGAGCAAGAAAAAGAACTTTACAGAACGGGTTTACTTGTTCTGTATTGAAAATTGTTGAGTTTGTATGTTTTAATACTTCCACTTTTTGTCTATGAATGTTATGTTGAATATCAAGTTCAAGTCTGAAGTATCACTTAACAAGCTAGTGTCTGCATTGAATATAGTACTGCACAAAGTATATTTGTGAAAGGGTTGTATTTTAGATATTAGTGCAGGATTTGGATTACCTTTAATTTCATTTGACTTGTTCATCTTCGTTCAGGAGTCCTCCATAAAGTTATGGGCAGTGTTCTTTTCAGGCTTTCCTTAAAGCTTGGATCAGTGTCCATAAACCTGCTTAAGGGACAAAGCCTTGCTTTTCTTTGAAGTTGCTTCCCCAGGATTTCAAAGAAGATATAGAAGCCGGTTTGCCTGAAACAGTTTAGAAAGTTTGAAGTGGTGCCCCTTAAACCAGCAGCAAAGTAAAAAAAAAATCCCTTTGCTTTACTGAAAACCATGACAATCCTATGAAGGAGTAAGAAATCTCTTCTGTCCTGTAGTCAGCTTCTGAGTCCCATTATTAGGAAAAATCAAAAGCACGAAGGACCCCTAAATGCTTAACATTTTTATCAAAGGATTCCATCTGACTTTTCAAAGGACTCATGTTCTGCATGACTATGTCCGAAAGGAGGAGGGAGGGAGGGAGGAAGAACCTTCAGTGAGAGAAACACTATATATACACTTGTAAATGTGCCATTGCCAAGTCAACATATTGAGGCAGCATTGTATTGATTTTTTTTTTTCGTGTCAGGAGTGACTTGAGAAACTGTAAGTCACTTCTGGTGTGCAAGAATTGGCTGTCCGCAGAAACCTTGCTCAGGGAATGCCCAGATGTTTTGATGTTTTACTATTCTTGTGTGAGGCTTCTCTCATGTCCCCACATGGAAGCTGGAGCTGACTGAGGGAGCTCATCCACTCATCGGTTTTTGATCCTGCTGGCACAACGGTTTAACCCATTGTGCCACCCAGGGCTCCTATTGTATTGATAATAAAATTGTACAGTTGGTCCTTGGTATCTGCTAGGGTTTGGTTCCAGGATCCTGTGTGCATACCAGAATTCATAGATGCTCAAGTCCCATTATATACAATGGCATGGTGAAGTGGTGTGCCAACAGTAAGGTTGTGTTTTTGAATACACACACACACATACGTATACATACACATACATACTGTGGATGATGGAATCCATGGATGCAGAGTCCATGATAAGGAAGGTTAACTGTACCGACTAGTTTTAGTAATGTTTAATGCATTGAAACTGATTGTGTGATTTTTAATAAACTGTGAATAAATAAAATGGGGAAATAAATGGTGGTAACATGTCAAAAAATAAGTGGATGTAGAAAAGGTTTGAAATGTTGGAGGACATAGACACTAAACACTTAGCACTATATATGGTGTTAGGGATTGTATATATGGTTATGATTTTTAAAAGCTGTATTTGAGTGGTTTCTTTTGAAGATTTTACATTTTTAAATTTCATATTCTGTCCTTTTTTCAGATCTGCCCTGTAAATGCATGCAATTACCTCTTGTGTAAGAGCTGTGACATTCTCTCTTTAATATTAAGTTCAGAATGCCTTTCTGGATGAGCCCATTATATGTTCTCTTGCTGATCATTCCTTTGTACTGCTGAGCATTACAAAGGAATGATCATTTATTTGTAATATGAGCTCTGGGAATTATTTTAAAGGCTGAAATATAACTCGTGCCAATAATACAATTAGTAAGGATTGACTCTAGGGTTTGGGGACTCTTCCTCCAAAAGTGCCTATTTAATCCCGACGATGGTAGCCATGCAAGTATCACAGTATTTTTGTGCTAAATAAAATGGTGGTACTGTTGACTTTTGGGTCCTTTTTGATCTTGCCTAAACCTACTACTGTCTGGCTTTGTTATAGTGTACTCTTCTTACATGGAGTGAAAGTATCTTCTGCAATGAAAGAAATGATCTTATGAGTAGTATTATTGTCTGAGCGTACAAATGAAACGCTATGATCCTGTTTGAATGGGAATAATTCTGAAATATTGTGAACTTGTTCTGTGTATAGCTGTTTATACTATCTGATTCAGGTATAAAGAAGTGAGATATATGTAGATTTTATAATTATTTTTCTTAGACGGTTCTGTAGATAGATGACTCTGTTACGATTTGATGATGTGTGCAGACCAGCAGAAGGTTAGTCCTTTGTATATTCAAGAAAGAGCAATACAAATAGAATAAATATAAAACAGAGTTCATGGAAAATACAGCAACTTCAACACAAAGTTTCTAGTAATAATACAATCACAGTTCCTCTGGAGTATCAAACTTACATATGATGCTTGCATTTAATTCATGCAATGCTTTCCATCAGAAAATAGGTCTTCTCTCAATCTTCATTTCTTGTTCATGGAGATGAGCATTGAAGACAAACTTGCCAGTGTCAAATAGGCTACAAGCCAGAAGCTTACACTGAGTAAGCTCAGAGGCAAACATTCAGTAAGCCCAAAAACACACAACAAACTGTCCCCGGTTATACCCCTTCAGGAGTGGCCCAAACCTTGTTGACCTTAATTACCCCAATTACTCACCCTGTGGATTGTAATCAACTAGGGTGAGCCTTTTTCTCTTAACACAAGCACAGTAGTGATCCCACAGTAACTTAGCCATGTACCTTGATTCTGCTTAGATTAATTCAGTTCCTGATTTTTCCATTTTATCTTTTTTTATCTCAAGTCTCCTTGAGGTAAATTCCATGTAAATGTTCAAATACATTTTCTGACAGTTTCACTAAGATATGCATTTTATATAGTATATACATTTTTGCAAGTATGTTCCTGTAATACAATACATTTTCATGTTATTTTCATAGTGGGTGTATTTCCATGTGCACGTCTCCTGAATTGCTTGTATGCACATTTTGATTGGAGAACTGTATTGCAATACATTAGATGCATTAATATTGAAGAAAAACTGTGCCTTTATTCAGGAAGTAGATAAAGTAGAGATGACATTAATGAATGAGACAAATCTCTTCCTTTTTCTATTACTCAAAGGAGCCTTCTGCACCAGTTAGAAACTTCACTTCTGACTGAACATTTATACCTCCAAAAAATACCCCCGAGCTCACAATGTCATGAAAGCAATGAGATGTAAAATAAAAAATCAACTCAACATTATTTCTTTTCTTCCCCAGTTAAACTGTCTCCCATGTAAGAGAAAGTTCAATGGATGCAGCCTATCTTTAAAGATTCAACTCACCTTTTTTGCTAATGAACATGATACAAATATTTTAAATAAAAAGAAATTTGATTTGAAATCTGAGCTGTTTGCTTGAGATGTTAAAATCTATGGATTTTTTAAATATGTATCTCAGTGTGATACAGATTTTATACCACTAGTCCCAAGTTAAAACTAGGGATCTCTTCACACGTACCTTATTTTCAGTGACTTGATGGTATTTTTGGACTTCAGCCATGGAGCCCAATAGCTCCCATCATGCACTCAAGGACTTTACTCTCTGGCCTATAACAATAACAATCTACTACACAAATGAACATGACTGAAACCATCTTGAATTACATTATTAACACATTGAAAAACATATATGAAATAACTGCAATTATCCTGACACAAATAACTACTAATGTGGCTCCATGGCTGAAGTTCTTCTGCCTCCAAAAAAAATGGTAATGGCAGACAACAGCAGGGAGCCTGCTGTTGTCTGCCATTACCATTTTTTTGGAGGAAAGATGGTTTGAACTGCCAAAAAAGGGATGGTTTGAACTGCCGAAGATGGTTTGAACTGCCGAAATAAGGAAAGATGGTTTGAACTGCTGAAAAAAGGCTTTCCTCATGTGATGAGGAAGGGGGAAAGTTACAATGGAATGAGATGTGGGGCGACAGGTTCCTACATCTCCTACGCAACTGTTGCCTGGATGCAGCAATCCACATCTTCATCAGCACGTCTGACAAGGTTCTAGGTCAGCCTTGGTTGTCTCACATCATTTGCTACATATTCCTTTTCACTGGAGATGTTTAGAATTCAGACTAACTTTAATGGGGCTATTTTCAAAAGTTCAAGTTTATAATTTGGGTTTTCATATGAAATCAACCTCGATACCAAAATGTCAGCAGCAGTGCATTTCAAAAATGGATTGTAGTCATTCCTGATAATATTATAGCCAGCTAGATTTACACATATCTTAGTGATTTCCTATTTTGAGTGCTGTAACAAATGCTTCACACTACGCAGGGCACCGAAGAAATGAGAGTGCTGGGCAGGATTGAAACCAAAGGAACTCTCATTCATGCTTTGTGACAATTATACTTGGAAATTCAACAGTAATTGACTGTTTTCTTTCTACTTACAATAGGCCTTGTGTATCCATAGATTCAACTATCCATGGCTAGACAATACATTTTTTTTAATCTAAACAGCAAACTTTGATTTTGCTGTTTTATATAAGGGCCGCCATTTTATTACATCATTGCATATAAAGGGACATGAATATCCACAGATTTTGATAACCATTGGGAGTCCTGGAACCAAACCCCAGCAGATATATCAAGGATTCATGGTATTTTAAATGCTGTATATTCACTAGCAGTTATGTTGTAACCTGTTGTTATGCACCACTATATAACCTGAATATATATTACAACAAATGTGACTGAAGAATGTTTTTCTTGTTGTTTTCTGCCCCCTCATCCTGGTCCCTGCAGGTGATTCTGCCACACCTCGCGCCATCTTGACTGGACATGACTATGAGATTACCTGTACAGCAATTTGTGCTGAACTTGGCCTGGCAATAAGTGGTTCTAAAGGTATGAAACTCTTTGAAATCTTAAGCTGATGTTTTTGGAAAGAAAAATAAACATGTAAGTTTTTTAAAGTCATATACTGAAAAAAAATATTTAAAATAGCAGAAATGCAATATTTTTCAATTTCAGTATGACTTTTACACTCTCTTTCGAAGAAGCTATCCATGCTTTAGGAAGGTTCTCTTGTGCTCCTGTCCTAATTATGAGTTTTGATAGGCATCTGATTGGTGTTGACCATTGAGGAAAAAATGCTGGATTAAATAGGCCTCAGCCTGATTTAATTTGCCTCTTCTCCAGACAGGGTTTTTATCAGTTTCCATCATGTTTTTGTTTCCTCTCATATCTATTTTGTATTGAGAACATATTTAAACTATGAATTTTTTGTAGATTATACATTCCTACATTTCTCCACAGATGACCTCCACAGATGACCTACACTTGCTGTAAATACTCTTGAGAAATTCCTTATTTTACTCTATGTTTAGGTATAAAAATTACATTAATTTTCCCTCTCCATAGACCATAAGCTTCCAAAAACAGAATCACTCAGGGGAACCCTGCTAATACCTGAAATTGCATGCACTTTTTAGTGGGTGTGTTTAATTATTTGCCCAGGTATGCACATAAAATAAATTTATTTTAGAACATTAATTTGTTCCTGCAGGCCTTTGGTAAGAACACGTTTTGCTGGAGGTCTCAACCTTAGAATGTAACTGCTAGAAGCTCATAGATATTGCTTGTTATGGATATTATCCATTGACACCTTTCTTTTCAATATACTTAGGAAGGCGGTTGGCTAGTGACATCATTGAAGACATGGGATTTAGTCTAGGGACTGCCAACTGCTGATCCTCTACTATTTGAGGATCAGTTTTTGATATTGCACAATATACTGCTGAGACAGATAAAAAGAAAATTAATTATTCCTGGATTCTAAAAATCCATTCGTTATTTATATTTCTTTCATTCATCTTTCTGCAACCTGTGCTCTTGTATTTTGTATAATTTTTACAAAATACCATCCCTGTCAAAAGCATGGTCCGCTAAAAATAAATATGCTGAATCTTGCTTTTACAAACAAAATAGATACCTCATACAAACATGATTTGCTTTTATGGCTCAGGAACTCAGATGTTACAGCAAAACTGAAGGTAAAATAACTTGCAGGGAGATATAAGTTATAAGAGTTTTAAACAATTGGTACTAGGCTCAGCAAGTATGGCAGCAATAGATTTGAATCTGGTTTTCTTATTTCCTTGTCTAGTAAAATCTCTATCACTAGTATTTGATTGTCACTACTTTCCATTTACAGCTGGCTTTCCTGGGTGGGGAGGCAATGCCTATGCTATGAACTCTCTGGAAAGAAGTGTACTTATATGGATGCATAAAAAGTTATGGAAAAGGTCATGAATACATATATCAAGAAAATGGATTCCAGAGAATGAGGTTACACTTTATGGCATCACTTGGACGCCAGATGGATCTAGTATTTAGTTTTAAGGAAAGCCGGAGTCTATCCCTCATTTAGCCAGGTTGCTCACTGGATGACGCCTGTCAATCCAAAAGTATACACGTTGTTTAACTTAATTTGCAACATTTTTGTGGCAATAAAATAGGATAGAACCACATGTGCTTCTTCGAGTTCTCAGAAGGAATGATGAAATAAAAGAATTAGTAACATGAACTCTGGTTTAAGCTCTGTTTAGGGCTGTTAGGAATTGTGAGAGTTGAAGTCCAAAACACCTGGAGGGCCAAAGTTTGCCCATACCTGTGCTAGGAGTAGGGCATTTACCTGTTACAATTACTCTAATGAGAAAAAATTATTTTGCTAGTAGCCCATATTCTATATCACCTAATTACAGAAGTATAACTTGAGTAATATTTCCTGACCTGATTTCCTCCAGAACCTTTTTTCCTAGCTGCAAGTGGTGGTTTGAGTGTTGAACCACAGTTCTGAAGACAACTCAGGGTTCAAATGTCAAAAATCTGATGGCTTTGCTTTTCTCCTCTCATCAGAAGGACCATGTCTCATACATTCTATGAATGGAGATCTGCTGAGGACGTTAGAACCTCCTGAAAATTGTCTGAAAGCAAAACTCATCCAGGCATCAAGAGAAGGACACTGTGTCATATACTATGACAATGGTCATTTTTGTGTATTCAGTGTGAATGGAAAATTGCAAGCCACTATGGAAACTGACGACAATATACGGGTGAGCATGGAAACTATACTATCTATACAATATTATGTTATTTTTATATTTTAAATATGTAACATTTTGATGTTCAATAGTTCAATAAAATGAAGCTCTAATGAAGAGATTAACAAATAGTGGTTTGAATCCTGTTGTTTAGCTCAATATAGAATAGACTGATTGAAGGTAACACACAGGTAAAATTCAAATTCAGTTGATTCAATGGATCTAATCTAGCCAGTATTAGCAATAGGATTTCAATCTATGCTAGACTTCAGCCTCTACAATATATAACATTCTACCTTATTGTATATTCCAATAATTTGTTACTTAAAGGTAAAGGTAGTCCCCTGACATTAAGTCCAGTCATGTCTGACTCTGGGGTGTGGTGCTCATCTCCATTTCTAAGCCGAAGAGCCAGCGTTGTCCGTAGACACCTCCAAGGTCATGTGGCCGGCATGACTGCATGGAGCGCCGTGGAATTTGTAATTTGTTAATTTGTAATTTGTTACTTAGTCTTTGTTACTTAGTCTTCTCATTATACATACATTATATATACATTCAATAAATACGATTTCCAGGCATTTGTTCCCAACTTTCACTATTACATTTTTAAAAGTTAACTTAGTGTAAGTATTCATATTAAAGATAGTGATAGGTCTGTATTTTAGAGAAACACTATCAGCTAAATATTAAAAATAGACATTAATTACCACTGAAAGGAAGAAGATGAACTAATCATGTGTTTATGGTTATATTTGAAATAGCTGGATCTGTGTTTGTTACATTGTCCTATGTTTGGGATACATAACTATGGAGTTTAAATAAGTTCATTATCATTTCGTCATCAACATTCCTTCTACAATTCAGTATAAGCTTCTTGTTTTATCGTTCAAAGTCCTACACAGTGTAGCTCCCTGCTGTCATTCAGTCCATATTTCTTTTTACTGACCTCCTCAAGGTCTGCATTCTAGCAATTCTAGGCTTCTCGCAAAACCAAGAGTTTCCTCTTCCTTGGTTTGCCTTTGTCTTTTCTCACTTGCTACTCTACAATCTTTAAATTGCATCCCGGAATATTTGCAGCCTGCTCCATCCCTCATTGTTTCTAAATCTCAAACTTTTTTTTATTTTCCAAAGTTTTTTGGTGTTTTAGTATTTGTTAGCTTGCTTTGTGCGTGTTAATACATTTATTTTGAATTGTATCTGAATGATTTGTTTTGCTGGGTTTTATTTATTTATTTACCCTATTTATACCCTGCCTTTCTCTACCCCAAGGGGAAATCAAGGAAGTTTACATATGGCAATTATTCAATGCCATATTGAATAACACATACAAAAATTAAACATAAAAACAATTGAATTTAAAATTAACGCATACTGAACATTTAAAAATTTGTATTCCTCCTTTCTCCTTCATGTGTATGTTTATATACAAATATTTTAGATAGTACACCTTTGGCAGGGGCCATTGTTTTTAGTTACATTACTGCAAAGTGCTATGTACCTTTGATAGTGGTATATCCATAAATGATGTTGATGATGCTGCCTGCAAATTAAAAAATCCTCATGGGTCCCCAAAGAGCCCCACCCTGGCATTTCCCAGGAAAGGACAGGACAGGACAGGGTAGGTTACTCAATGGATGCCTCTTCCTAGATTCCATCATGCATTCTGTATTGTACAGGATACTCGCATGTCTAGACACTCCTGTGCCCAGAAATGTAGTTCTTTGGGGAAGGAGCAGGATTTTAATGAGTGCTATAGGCATGCTGTGCATACAGGTGCTATGCCCTTGTGTACAGAAGGATCATGTTCTAATTATTTGCAGAGAAAGGTATATAGGAAAGTAATCTTAGCCATTCCTGTAACTTTTTCCACATGTTCCAGCTGCATTAAAATAATGTAAATTCTCTTCATAATGTCCATACCTTCCATAGTTCACATTGAATTGTTTACAGTTTTTTTTACCATAATTCCCATAGTACTTAGTGATTTCGCTTCGCTTTTCCTGCAGCCGCAGCGCTGATAATGTATCGCTTTGGTTGTGATTATGTTGTCAGCTAGGCCAGTAAATCTCTAAAATATCTCGCAATCCCTTGCTGGCTAAAACAATTTCTTTAGTGTTTGTCATTCCCAAGGCTTGGGCAATGTTGCTTTATGCAATGGAAATTCTTCTCTCTCGGCCAGCAATACACACAAACCATGCTATTATTTTTCCTCAGCAGTCCCAGATGAATTTTAGCCTTAAACAATCCACAGTCTTTTCCCTAGAGCTTCTGTACTTTATCATGCTGTAAGGGAAGTGGCAACAGGATGATTAAAACAAGAGTGTTCAAAATGTCTTTGCCCGCAGGCCCTCTAGCCCTAGAGTTTCATAGTTCGTTGTTCATGGCGGCCAGGGAGGGAGGGGAGTCTATGGACGAAGTAGAAATTTAATTCCTTGTCCAAATTCTTTGCTTTGCTTTCCTGTACAACTATGGGCTTGACTTGCAGGATGTTGACAAAGCTGAAGCTTTTTAGTTGTTCTATTCAGACAGTTTAATCTTCTAATTTACTGTCTTGTACACAAGTACCCCAAAAATGCTACCAGGAGAACTTTTAGGTTGTCTGGATATACTCAGGGCCTAATCAACGCTTTCCACCTGTTTTTGTTTTAAATACTGTATTGCTCAGTGGAACATAGGCTAACAGGATATCATAGCAGATCAGCCTTGCAATGTTTAGATATCTTAATGAGTAACTTAAATCTAAGTAGGCAGGCAGTCCGGAGGACTAAAGTTATTCTATCCTAAACAAGGCCAGCATGCTGTTCCACCCAAAGGAACCAATTTATTTTTCTTTCCTGAGTCTGTTTTGAAAAGTCAAGTATCTAACAGGCTCTTGCTGCTTTATACCAATGTTGTCAAGCTGACAGGTCTGGTTTTTAAGAATAATGGTCTCTTAAGAATCCCAGTTTTGAGACGCTTCAAGGGAACGTTGAGTCAGAAATAAAGGAACGTGGAACATTTCTTTAATAGTATTCTTTGGAGGACTGTTTGTGCATCTCAAAATAATGGTCAGTTATCCTTAGATTACTTCTTAGGAAAATCTCAAATATAACTTTCACACTGAGGCAATATTAGACTATCAAATTGATTCATATTTTTTTCTGGAACAGCCTTTATTTGCTAAATCTTGAAGGCCACATGATATTAAAATCTTGATTGAGTTTTCATCCTAATACATATATATAGGCATCCATGCATATGCCCGACCATGTCTTTCCTCATGCACTTCCTAGTGATTCAGTATAATCATCATCCATTAGTAACCAAATTCCATATCTCACCTTTTATTTAACCAAGAGCGCAGAAGCACACAGAATTCTCTAGTACCAGAAGAGTTAAAGATTAATGGCTTTAATTTGCCTTTTAATATAGCATTTCTCTGATAAAGAGCCTCCAGTATAACACTCAAGTGAACCATAACCATAAGGTTAATGGATTTTCATCAGATGAATTTTATAACTGTAGCAAATAATTATTTGTCACGGTCTTCACTGCAATTTCAAAAATACCCTTAGGAGATTGCCATTTGTGAAATGAGGATAAAATGGATATTGATTTTTCTCGTAATGAATAATCTTTTGAGTAATTGTATTTGGTTTGTTAGAGATCAGGAGTCCAGCATTTTCTTTTAAACGATTTGCTGAAGTTCCATCATCTTTCTCCTGTCTGCATCATTGTCTGTTCATGAATAATGTGCCGAAAACTGATGAGTTCACTTACTAAGCAGTTGTTCTTATATGGGAATAATAATGAAAAGGATGATAATAATACAACTAGTAGTAATACTAATCTATTCTCCCCCCCCCCCCCATTTCATTAGACACAAAGTTTGAAGAGTAAACAATCGAACAAATTAAAATGAAATTAAAACATTATACCAGTTTAAAACATGTTTAATCTGATATTTACTAAAACAAGCGGGATGCCCCTAACAAGGGTACATATTTGACAGGCCCTGTCAAACATAAAAATACAAAAATTTCAGAATCCCACTTTTCTACAAAAAGAGTGTTAACAGCTTTTCTTCCACACAGATTAAAAACACTTTGGATTATAACTTTTTGATCAAGTAGTTTAAAATGAGAAATTCATTAATATCAAAAATTATTTGGTGTTCTAAGTAAAGAAAAGGAAGAGATGACAAGTTTTGGATACTCTGAAAATGTGCTAAATTAGTGCATAAATTCTTATGCGGGGAAAATAGTGCCATGCACTAGTTGAGCTTTTTTGAATCTTGACCCATATTATTTAAAATCATAACTATTTGTTATTATTTAAATGGATTATTTTGGATTATACATCAGCTCTAGTTTCTGATACAAAACATATGCCATCCAGTAGTTGCTATCTGCTCATCCACAGAAAACCATATATAATAAGTCTCAGCACTATAAGATAGTTTTGCAAGACCAGTCGCTCTTGTTGCAACAGTATAGTAATGGTGAGGCAGTGGACTATATTTTAGTTCTTGCGGACCACTGGTGGTCCACAGACCACAGGTTGGGAACCATTGGTTTAGATGCACCCTATGAGTGGGAGAAGAGAAGAAAATGTGTGTATTTTATGATAACTGTTCCTGCCTTTGAATACGGCTCATCAGAAAACTAGTTTTGTAATCATTATCAACTGGCTTGCCAAGTATTTTTCCCAGCCCAAATATGTGTCACCTAGTAAAAGCAACTTTTTAGCCTGCTTTTCTCATCTGTCCAGCGTTTGAATCAAAATAATACATTCTTCTTCAAATGAAATTACAGGAGTGGAAAATTGTGTGGTGGAAGCTGTTGTTTAAATGTACAATATTCCTTCTACTAGGCAATTCAGCTGAGCCGGGATGGTCAGTACCTGCTTACAGGAGGAGACAATGGGGTCATCATGGTGTGGCAAGTTTGTGACCTCAAGCAACTTTTTGCCTATCCTGGTTGTGATGCTGGCATCCGATCTATGGCTCTTTCACATGACCAAAGGTGAGACTCAGATGTAGACTGATATATGCTGCACTGTCTATTCTTTAAAGGCCCTACCACATAATGTACCACATGATGAAGAGAGGTTGAAGGAACAAGGCTTTTTTTTGTGGCAGTTTCCCAATCAGGGAACTCCTTTTTTAAGGAAGATAGATTGGGTCCTCTTTTGCTTGGCCATAGGTGGGCAATGAAGATGTTCTTATATGTTTTTACTTTGCATCCTGGATTTTAAAAAAGATTATCTGTGCTGGTCTTGATTTGGTTGTTTTTGAAGTTCCTTATCATGTGTGGGGGAGAGGTTTCCCACCAGAAATAATCTTTTTTAAAGTTGTAAGTTCTAATCATATTAAGATCTAGCAGAGTGAAATACAAACATATGCACATTTAAGACACACTTATGTGCACCTATGTCAGTAGCAAGATTAGATGTTTCTCTTACCTAATTATGATATATTTATTTATTGGGGGGGGGGACCCCACTGGGAAGGTTAAAGTAATATTCAGAGATTTATGAAGGCAACTGTACTGTAGAGTAATGCTTCTTAAACTGTGGATCCTGATCTCAAATGGGGTCAGTCCCCTTAGTTCAGTGGTTCTCAACCTTTTTTTGACCAGGGACCACTCTCCAACATTAGTACCAAAAGGGTTACGAATCAGTTTTTGGTCAACTTTAGATTCGGTTTGGTTATTTGGGGTGCTGCTTCAGAAATTTCCATTGGAGAGACCATACCAGCTCTATTTCTGATACAGAACATATGCCATCCAGTATTTGCCATCTGCTCACCTAGAGAAAACCATATTTAATAAGCCTCAGCACTATAAGATGGTTTCGCAAGACCAATCACTCTCATTGCAATGGTGTAGTAATGGTGAGGTCATGGACCATGTTTCATTTCTTGTGGCCAACGGACTACAGGTTAGGAACCGCTGCCTTAGCACAATGTTGGGGTCCCAAAAAAAATCAACAGTAAATGGTTTTGGGATGCCATCTTCTGGCTATCTTAGACATTTACACAAATATGCAAAGAGGGAAATCATCCTGTTTAACAAGTCTTGGAAAAGCTTATTTAATCAGTAAATATTTGACTTGTATATCTATTTTCTGTACCTATATACTTGGGGTCATGTAAACGTTTTTCAGGTGGCATGGGGTTCCAAGTGGAAAAAGTTTAAGTAGCCCTGCTGTAGAGAATATAGACATTTAAGCTTAATCACAATAAAGTATTATGTGGTTAAAGGGTACCTCTTAGAATTGGACAGTGACATTCCATCTTTTTCTTCCTTTCATAGGTGTATAATGACAGGCATGGCTTCTGGGAGCATTGTACTTTTCTACAATGACTTCAACAGGTGGCACCATGAATACCAAACCAGATACTGATGCTGGCACAAATCCAACCAGCATATGCAGCTGCTCCCAGATGAAGACTTGAAGCACAAGTCTCTTTTCAGTATCTTGTTAGAGCCTCACTTCTTATAAATAGTTAATATAACATCTGAATGTAACTTAAACTTGCTGAGAAATGCTATTTTTTAAAAGTTTATTGCTATTTTTGTAGACCTTGCTTGACTTTTTGGGTAAAGGGGGGTGGTGGAAGAAGCAGAAAATGGCTGCTGGGGTTCTGTAGCTTAAAAAGAAAATCTATATTTTTAGTCATAGTTTGTCTATTTTGATCCAAGCATAGGGGAGAAACCTAAATGAGATGGCTAAAATTCTTGTACTAGCTATTATTATGAAAAGAAAATCTCATGTAAATCTTTACAATCTTAAGGAATATTTCATTACAACAATGGAAATTGATTATAATGCTGGAAGTTGCTTATAAAACTGGCATCTTAAACTGGGCTTGCCCCACCCTGGTTCGTATTATACATTTGCAATGATTGTACTACTTCAAGCACTGAATTTTCTGGAAATCAAGACTATTTAAATTATATGCTAAATGTAATTTTGTTTCCATCAGTGTAATGATCAAGCATGCTTTTAAGTCTAGATTATTAGGTTTTCAATTTGTTTTTGGGTTATTGCTTTTTGTTTGTTTGCTGTTCTGTTGTGCAGCTGATGAAGAGGAAAACAGCAGCAGGATTGATTTATGAAGTGTAAGTCTTTATTTTCCTCCTCTCCTATTCCCATGCACACTCAAATGTGCATTGTTTCTCAAAACCAAATGTTGTGTTGCGGACTTGCAGTGTATCCTCCCATAATTAGCTTCTGTCATTTTTTGGATCATGTGTGTAGATTTTAATAACACTCCTCTCATTGGCCTATAAAGCTGAAGGCAGAAAATAACTGGAAGCCCGTCTACAGAAATCATACTTTTGTTTCCATTCTAGAAGCAGCTTATGAAAGCTGTGTAGCACAAGCCATACCCAGTGCTATTCTCCAAAATGAGATATGTTTGCATCTTTCCTTCCCCAATCATGTTGACAATACAGAATACACTTTCTTCCAGCTCTTTGGAATGGAAATGCAAGTTTATACTCTGGAACAATGTATTTTGGTGTTGCATAAATTCTACTTTTTCTACAAGATTGCTGTGCAGAATTCTGTGAAAATACTTGTGAAAGGAACTGTACCGTTTTGTAGGCCTGTATTGCATAAATACTTTGTACGTTGTACCTTGTTAAAGTTTGAAATTTACATTCCATATCTCTTGGTATATAATTTTCTTCAGCTGCTTACTTGAAGCAGGTCCCATCTCCCCATTGCCCCCCTCCTCCAGCTACTCTCTCTTGCAGTGAAGATCTAAAAGGGGAAAATTCAGTTTGAAATAAGAAATTAAATAAAATGATATTTGTAATTTAATGAATTATTCATTGTAGTGGACTCCTGTGTTGCTAACTGAGCACAACATAAACACTGGTGGTGTGCACTGGTAACCCTTTATCTCGTTTCATCTGTTCTTTCATCCCTTTCATTTTGGGCTTGAGCATGAAATGGGAATCCCTCCCCAAAACGAAAATAAGGTCAGTACGAAAGAAAGCAGGAGCGGGTACCATTTCCTTGCCTGATTTTTGGACCACTGAGCCCTGCCTGTCGGGCTAATCAGAGGAGAACGCCATCTGCCTTGCCTGCAGTTTGAGGGGAAAGCATCACTGAAATAGTGGAATCTTAAGCCTTGTATTTACACTCACTTCTCTCCTGCAGATGGAGAGGAAAACATCACAGAAATGGGGGTATCTTAAGTAACTCTGATGCTTTTAATCTAGGTTGTAATGAAGGATATAAGTACAAACCATGCCATATTTTAAAGGAAGTTTATAGAAAGAAAAAAATCCCTAAAAAATTGGGGGACGACCCAAACATTTTAAGTCGTGGTGGGCAAAGAGTGGTAGATGTGCCCTCCATGTGTGGCAATTTTCACCCCTCTCACCCTAAAACTGAGGGGAAGGGGAGCCTGGGAAGGATGACCATGTTGGCTAATGGTCCGAAAAAGGTCATTGAGATGGCGCCTATTTTCGGGAAACTAAAACGGGGACTTACAAACCAAAAAGGACAGTGATTCTATATAAATGCTTAAGACTAATAAACACCTTTTTCTCTACACACCTAAAAACATAGCCTTGAGAATTATTTAAATGTCATTGCTTAATTGGGGAATCTCTTTTGAAAAAGTTGGCCTTGCAGCTCTTTTCTGATACTTGCTTTGAATATTTTTCTATCTAATCTCGATTCATCTGTCTTCACCAATTCAATCCTTTTGGAGTCCTCCCACTTCAGCTTTCCAAATTCTCAAAAAAATTACCATTTGCTCTTTTCAAGAAGAATGTTTATTGCAGGTCTTAATATTCTAATGTAAAATAAAGGCTAATAGAAAATGATTGAGAATTGTTAAAAAGGAGAAAAAAAGGAAACGAGCAGAGTACATACAATATTGAAACAAGCATTAAGTAAGATACAATCCCATCTATCCTTGATTGCACATTTTAGCATAACATCTCCCCAAGTATTTCAATTTTTTGTTGCTTATAAAAAGGGATACTTTTTAAAAAAAAAAGATGGCAAAAGCATTCTGCATTGTTGATCAGCAGTTCAATGCTTTAATTTAGCTTGCTCTAAAGAATCTCTTCCATCTTAGGATATCCAACATGCAGCAAGCTCTTCTCCCAAGACAATTTGCTATTGTTCGCAACCATTAATTTCTGGGACTAGAGTCAGGAAACAGTATGTGCAGAAATGGCTTTAATGCCTACAGTCTTCATAACAAAAGAGCCATGAGTGGAAGAATGATTGTCCTGTGATTATGTTACTTTTGTATTCAATTCCATTTGTTTAAGTTCATCTTATCTAAACTAATATCAAATCAGAAGTTTCAATATTAAGTCCCTCCCCCTCAAACTATCACACATGTAACCTCACTCATACTACTTGCCTTTCAATATTGTACAGATTGTCCACTGAGACCAGGCTTTCCTCTTCAGCGTAAGTAATTCCAGAACAGAACTTTAAAGATGAATGAAGGAATGATCAGAACTTCCCAGTTTACTCCTCTGGAACATCATGTAAAGACCAGAGATTGCTGGGTAAAGCTTCTTTCAATGTTACATCCAATGCAGAGTGTGCAGTATATCAAGATATGACCACCACTAGTGTAGATGATTTCATTCCAATCCCAATGTCATTTTAATTATATTCAACACTAAAAATCTCTAAAAGGTAAGAATTTTCCAAATGTAATGTCCAGACCACTAAAAACTACTGTATATACCAACTTCATCCCTTTCAAACAGAATGTGAACAAACTACAGTAGTGAATACAACAGAACAGTAGCAGATAATTTTTCTGACCTAGCAGTGTTCTTCAGTGGGACTTTTCTTAAAGGACCCCTGCGCTATCGTCATGACATGCGGAGACCAAGTGCGTAGAGAGTTTGAGTGGCTCAGAAGCAGCAGGAAACAATGTTTTGAGATCATCTGTGGGAGGTTCATGAGCTGCAGCATTTGTCCTGGTGGTTTGGTTCACAGTGGCTCGGCCAGAGCCTTGACAGCGTTTGTTGCAGAAGATTTGCTTCTCTTTATCTAGAGCTGTGCTCTATAACAGAAAAGGTGAAGAGTCACATCACAAGCACCTCTTGACCTTCACATATATGTCAGCAAGCACATCATTGGACGCATGCATTCGTCTGAAGAAAAGGAGAAGTAACATCAGAGGTCCCCCCCTCCCCAAATATGCGGGCCTTGTGGATAGTTTTGAAGACTGGCCTCTGACACGCACAACACCCAGAACATTAGTAAATACCACAAACTGCATGAGCAACATGCTGTTTTAAAGCCAGTGACAAATGCATCACTTTAAACAAAAAACATTTCTGATTTGCAAGTCTGGTGAGGAAAAGAATATATGTGTGACTGTAAAAAAAAAAAAAGCAAATGGGATGCGTTGCAAAAAATGCATTTCTTAAGCACTTAGCTATAATGGCACATGCCAGCTGCATCAAGAGACATGAAATTAGTTTGACAGGACAAAAATTAATGTAGTGCAGGTGGGACAAAGGGTCCAGGGTGACATCAAGGCAGTCTTAAACAAAAACAATTGCCATTTTGACTACAATGAATCAGCATGCTACAGTCACGAAAATAATTTCTAGTATTAGAGAGGTAGAAAATGTGTTACTGTGACATGAAAAGTTGCTCTGACAACTGTTTGAAAGCTTTCAGATCAGCTTATATAAGAATCTCTAGATTGTTGTGAAGTCTTTGCATAAGTAGTACTATCCTTCCAATATTACACCCCAAATTATCGTTCTCTATTAATGTTATTAATATTAATGATTCAATATAAAATATAACATTTTCCCATGCTCTGATTGGCCTTACATAATTCACCAGTTTCCTGGTCCAATTGCTGCATTCAAGGAAAAGATTTAAAATTTTGAGGAGTGTTCCATCGTGACGCCAACAAGCTGCTCACATTTAAAACCTGCTTGTGCCTCAATTAATTTGTCAGTGAGGTGGGGGATAAAGGCATGGTTTACGCTGTCATTTCATATTGTACCTCTTTAACCCTCTTTCAGCAGTGTCAAATGCAAGCCAAAAGAAAAATGGTTCTTTAAAACTTGTCGTTTTCAGTATTCTTTTGCTGCAACTTTGAAATTAGTTCAAATGAACTTCATTCAGTTAGCATCCCTGGGGCATAATGACTTGGAAAAGAAACTTCTATGTCCAAATTCTGAGATTTTGCCGTCAATGGGCCGAAAATACTCATTTCCTTCTGACATCGGACAAAAGCTCATTCAGAAAAACACCCATTTTTGGGAGAGGTGCTTGAAAATGAAAACGGGGCCTTACGAATGAAACAAACCAAAACAGATAGTGATTCTGTACAAATGCACAAGACTAGTTGACATTAACTTGGCCTCATACCTGTGGACTCCCTCTCTGGAAATTCTGGTTTGATTGTATTAGTAAGTCTATAGTGCTAATCCGTTATACAGACAGCCCAACTATTGAACAGCATTCAATAAACACATGGCATAAAGTAGTAAAAAGAAAGCAAGGAACTAGGATGAGCTTAATTAAACCCCCTTCTGACACCCGACCCCCAGGTTGAGAAACACTGCCTTAAAAGAACCCTATCTTCCTTTCCTGAATAGAAGTCACCATTCCAGTTGTAATCGTTGAAAGAATCTGCAACCAAATACGCAGGACACAAGACATCATGCATAGTGAAATGATACCAATGGTACAAACATATAAATGCAACAAAAGCCATGTTACATAAACACTGGCATACGTCCCCACCTCAGACTGCTATTAGGCTACTTCTCCTTTTCTTTCCGACTCGGGATGAATATTTTTAATGTGGCAAGAAGCACAGTAATTAGTACATACCATTGCCTTGGACCTACTCAGAAGAAAGCAATGCAGGCATTGGGAGAGGAAGCAAAAGAAGAAAGCAAGGGACAGACACTAGACTTACTTGAAGCAGAACCAAGAGCATTGCAACATTTATAAACTTAAAAGAAACTCATTCTGAAATTAAAGAAGCCATACTAAAACTCTTTTTGTGCAATGACTCAATGCGTTGAAAGAAAAAAAACACATGGGCAAAGAGCAAACCACTTTTCAGATGCAATTACACTCTTCCACCACACGAGGGCCATGTCTGCTTTAGCACAACATTTCAAAGAATAGTACGATTTTGTAATACAAAGCCCAAAATGAATTAAGCTGAATGGTGTCTGCGAAAAGGAAATGAATGATCGCTTTATCAACATGAAAGGAATTCACTATAGTGCAAATATGTGCTGAATATAAATGTTTCTTTTGCAAATGTCCTGAAAACATCCTGATGCACAGGATTGGAAAAAATAAGAATAGATGCAAAGGTAGGGAACAGTTATTTCTGATATAACCCTTAGTTTCTGTTACACTCTCTTGTTTTATCATTTCTTAGACAAACATCAAGGAAAAAAACCATTCAGAATTGTCTCGATACAGCAGTGGGTAATGGAACTAGGGGTATATTAATGTGTCACAGTCATAACTGTTTAAACCAACTTTTATTTGCCACAATCCCTGCTTGGATCTGTAGTGTGACAAGGGACTTAGAATTGCCCAGTGCCCTTTCCTATGCATTAGAGCTCTCTAGAAAAAAATCTAGAGTTACAAATCCCAGGCTTACACAGGATGGATCTATGGCATATAAAGTTGCAATAGACTACTATAATTTAATAGTATCAATACAGTAGTGGGATCCATTAGGTAAAGGTTTCCCTTTCATATTAAGTCTAGTCAGGTCTGACTCTGGGGGGTGGTGCTTATCTCCATTTCTATCTCAAAGAGCCGGTGTTGTCCGTAGATGCCACCCAAGTCATGTGGGCCAGCATGACTGCATGGAGCGCCACGATCTTCCTACAGAAGCGGTACCTATTGATCTCCTCACATTTGAATGTTTTCAAACTGCTAGGTTGGCAGAAGCTGGGGCTAGCAACAGGAGCTCATCCCATCCCACAGATTTGAACTGCTGACCTTGGTCAGCAAGTTCTGCTGCTTAGTGGTTTAACCTGCTATGCCAACTTGGCCTCTACCACGATACAATTACAATGCTTGTCATAAGTGGTGTGAAACTGGGGGGAAATTCTGAACATTAGCAACAGCATGTTACTCAACTTTTCTTCACTATTTGTGTATCTCTTTTTTATATGTGAACATATGGTGGGAAGATAAACAATCATCCTTCAGCAAGGTTCCTATGCATCCCATTAATAGGAAATGCTGTTAATTCTTCTTTGGCATTACTCTGGAAGCATCAACAGAGGAAATGCAACCTACTTATAACTTTACACAAAACATGAAAGCCAAATGGTATTACAGAATGGGGCAACTGGCTCAGAAGAAGGGGTGCATGTCTTGAACATCTCAAAATTAGATTCTTATCTCTATTAAAATGATCCTGGTTGCAGTACCGCAATGGGTTAAACCTTTGTGCTGGCTGAACTGCAGACCTGAAGGTCCACAGTTCGAGTCACGAGATGGGGTGAGCTTCTGTCTGTCAGCTCCAGCTGACAACATGGTAAAGCATCCAGGTGTCCCCTGGGCAATGTCCTTGCAGACAGCCAATTCTCTCACACCAGAAGCAACTTGCAATTTCTCAAATCACTTCTGTCACAAAAAAATCCTGGTTTGTTGGTATTATATAATTAATGCAGAACATGACTAACCAAAACCACACAACTTCTAGTTACTAAGCAGCTTGTCCTACTCAGACGCCTTTCTGGGTTCAATAAAACCCTAATATTGAAGACTTAACCAGCAGGGAATGAGGTGAAGAGAAAAATAAGAGTTAAGTGTACATGAGATGTACCTCATTGGCTAGAAGCAAAACCATCAGGCCATAGAATTAGAAAACTCCACACCAATAAGAAGCTAGAAGCTGCATTGTATTAAAGACTGGAGGCAAGCTTAAAGGACGTGCGACTTGTGAGCAGCTAGGAGTTAGGCTTTAAAATCACTCTATTTAGTAATGTATTTTATACCAGGTTTCTGCTTCAGGTTTATCCATAGTCTCAAAAATACAAAGCATTGAGCTGTGAGGTCTCTCAGACTGTCAAGTCAAACTGTCAAATGAAATTCAAGCAGAAGGATCAGCCTAAAAGAAAAGTTTCCTTTCTTCTATTACTGACTTGCAATAAAATACTTTTTAAAGTTGGTGCACATCAATTCACATACATATCCATAAGTGGAAATAAAGGGAAAACAAGGAAATGGTTCCATCCACAGCATTGCCCCCTCCCCATGATCTGGGTGACTTTGGTTGTCCTGCTGATATGGCAATGCCTTTTGGTGCTGCGTGTTAGTGATGCAGGGCAAAAACAAAAACTGAGTGCTAACGTATGGAGCATCTTTAAGAACTTTGTAACCAAAAGGCTTGATGAATCAAATTTTAAAATCCCTGTAGCATAGATCAATTAGTAACAATATGCAACTAGTGAATGAAGGCAGACGACTTATACATAGCACAGAACCACTTGCTTGATGTGAAACTACATCACCTTCACAACAAATGATTTTCTGCCAATTCCTTTCAAAATATTGTTCTTAAAAATGCATCTACAGTGTAAGGAGATATTAGACACAACTGTAAATATGCATTGATATTTTTCAATGGCAATTTTTTTACAATTGTATCTCTAAGGAAGAGGGGAGGCTAGGAAATGACTGATAATACATTAGTAAAATAATTAATGGAAATGAGGCACTTGCTTACCATGATGACAGAAACCCCTGCAGTTGGGTTATTCTGTTTGGGTAGTGTGTTGTTAAAGTGCTGCTTTAATTTACCTGTTACTTCAGCTTGCATATTATTTTCCTGGGAGGCATCGTCCTTTGTAAACAATAAAAGAGAATGTGTTTTATTCCATAGCGATTTTTTTGGAGTAAAATCTAAAGTTAGTCTTAATACAAAAAAGTATTTCACAAAACTGTGTGCAATATGTTACAGAGAACTACTGTGTTAAGCATGTTTAAACTTTTTGTTGGTTTCAATAGGAAAATTATGCAGATTTTAGTCCTACTGATTTCAAAGCAATACAAGTGTCCAGTAAGATAATGTCTCAAGACTCTACCTAAACTTATGCCATGTTATGAAGTTAAACCTGAGAATACTCTGATAAGAAAGGTTATATTACAAATCTATTGTCGAAGGCAAATCTCTTCTCCAGCACACTCAATTGTTCTGACGAAAGGCAACAGTTCAAACATATATAGATATGATACAAATGTATTGTATCTGAAGTAAACTACATTTGTTTCTAAGGTAATAACTTCTCTTCACTGTACCATTAAAACTAAAACATACAGGTTGTTTCAAAAAGATGGACCCAATTTGAAATCACTGCATATCTGCAACCATGAACTGCCTATTTATTTATTTATTTAGTGTCAAAACCATTGCCTAAATAAATAAGTTTTAAACTGATGAAATAAAGGGATCACAAGCAGCTAAATAGTTTTAGACAGACAACAGCGACTTTATTATCTGTAGCTTTAAACCGTTGCCTTCTGTGCATAAGGCATGGTGTTGTGGGCAAGCATACAGGTGCTGAGCTGTTTGATCTGCTCCACAGTCACACAAGGTGGGGGATTTTTCTAGGTAGTGCCATTTTGCCAGGTTGTCTTTTCATTTGCCAACTCAGGCTTCTGAGTCTGTTCAGGGAGTTTCAAGTTGCCCATTTCTGGTTTGCCCCTCAAGGAAGATCCCCCTGGGGGGGGGGGGCATCCAGTTGGAATTACCTGATCTTGCTGCCCACAGGGATATTCTTGATGTTGCTGGAGGAACATTTAGAGGAGAGGTGGTTCTCATTAAACTTTTCCTTGATTTAAGTCTACCAGGAAGAGGCTGGTAGACAAACAGTGGGTGGCTTTCACAATGTTAAACCTTATTTCTCTTGCCACTGGTAGCAACTTCCCATCACACATCGGGGGGGGGGGGGAATGCCAGCTAGCTTATAGAGTTTATCGTAGGTTTAAGACATACTGTGATTATTCTCATTCAGTGCTATATTCATTTGTTAAGCGTCGATAGATTTATGCCATATGGCACAGGCATCCTCAGCAGTTGAGTCACACAAGGCCAGGACTGATGTTCTTATTAATTTTGGGTCTGCACCCCATGCACTATTACTAAGTTTCCACAGGATGTTATTGCGTGCAGCTACTTTGTGCTTGGTGTTTGCACAGTGTTTCCTAAATGTTAAGTGCTCGATCTAAAGTGACACCGATATCTAGGGTGGGAACAGTGTTCAAGCTCTTGGCTTTCACAGGTAACCATCAGTTTCCTGTTGGCTTCATGATTATGTAAATGGAAAGCACACACTTTTTTCTTGGCAGGGTTAGGCTTCAGGTGGTTATCTTTCAAATGACTGGCAAAGCTGCCCCTTCCTAGCAGACAAACAGCCCCTAGCCTCTCACAAGATGGCAACCCTGCTGCATAAGGCCTCATGACATATTCTCCATTTGTGGAGTTATTTCTAGATTTGTTTCTGGTTCAAAATGGTCAATAAAACTTCATAACTGATTATATGGGTTATAACCTTTTGTGTAAATATTGCCATCATGATATTGCTTTGAAAATAGGTCCATCAATTTGAAACTCCCAGCATTATGCATTAAAACCATCTCAGTTCAAATAGGACACGCAGCATGCACAAGCAATCAAACAGGATTCAGAGATCTTTCACTAACAGACCATTTCACTTTGACCATTGATTGTGTGGGGCCTGAACCTAAGCATGATCTGACAATTTCCCATCCAACAATCAGAGGCAGGAATATTTTTGTGGATCATCTAACTAGCACCAGGCAAGCCTCCTTTCATCTGAAAATGTTTAGATAGATAGACAGATATAGATGATAGATAGATAGATAGATAGATAGATAGATAGATAGATAGATAGATGATAGATAGATGTCAAGATCCTGTATCAAAAACCTAGGCACAATGTCACAGCTATGATCTATCTCCTGGGCTGATCATTGAACCTCACCCTAAAATCAAACCAGCTGCACTGGGAGATGGACATTTGTGTTGCAGGCAAATTGGTCATTGAAGGATGACACACCCAGTTTCTTCCCATCAGTAGAAGATGGGGGCACCTACCTGGGTCCTATCACAACTCCTTGGCACAACACTGATGTCTATCAGAAGGGAGCTGGATGTGTCATCCTTCAGTACCCCTGTTGCAACACCACACAACTCTGCCCTTCTTTGCAGCAAGCTAGATTTTACAGAAAGCATTCAGGAGCATTTATTGATCATGAGCATGACCCCATACTCTAAAACATGCATGCACACAACATGCAGGTAGCCCCAGAGGAAAAACATGAATTAGAAATTATTTTTCAAGTCTGTCAAACTGCCTATCAGAAAGTAAGGTCTCAACACAGGATGGGTTTCCATGTTCAAATCCAAATGTACAAAATTACTTTACTCACTGACACCCAGGGGTGGTTTAGAATCTGAGCTGCAGTATATCGTGCTTCCACATTTACTTGTAACATCAGACTAATTAACTCCTGAAAGACAAAATAAAACAAGAGATGAGGAAAAGAAGGTCCACAATTTACTAAAATAAGAGGTTGCCTCCACAGGAATTTTGTACATCTTTCTAAATTTCCCTCACCAACCTATTGAGTTTATCAGTAAACATGGGATCTAATTAATATTTTGGAAGCATAACTCCATGACAGAACAGAGGAAGCACACAGCCACTGGAAATAGCTTTTAAATGAACAGAAACAAAATGCCTCCATTGAATGTTTCCTGACTCAGGATCCACAGCTGCCATCTTATGTCCCTTTATCATCTGCTTCTGGGATGAGGAATCTGTGGGTCTCCTTAACTTGTCTGACTGGAACAAACTTGGCTGCTGGGCTAAAACAGTCTCCACATTACACAAGATTATTTTTTCTAGGCACCATTCTAAGTGCTGGAGTGTTCTTCAAAACCCAACATGGGTTAGGACCCAAGTATCAGCGGTCTGCCTCTCCTTCTGTATATCTGCCCTTCAAGAGACCTGATTGTCCCTTATCTGCATATGGCCTGAAATTATCAAAGAATATCACTTATTTTTTACACATTGTAAAAGCTTTCTCTGGCATCCAGCTTCCAAACATGGAATACTTGTCCCATGGAAGGTGAAACAGATAATACAATCATTTCAACTTCTGCTCAGAGCTACTGTCTTTGTTCAGGCATATTAGTGGTTAGTTTATTGTATTTTTGTTGCATTTGCTCTCTTCCATGCCTGATTATGATTTATTTATTTATTTATTTATTTATTTATTTAAAAGTTTTGTATACCGACCTTCTCACCTCTCTTGAGGGACTCAGACCGGTTTCTAACCATAATATCACATACAATCAATAAAACTTCATAATACATATTACAATAAAACATTAAAACAGCAATTACAATCAATAACTATAATGGTCAGTCATCATACATTTACATTTCTGCTTATTTACTGTATTATTTACATGATTTCAATTATACTTTTGAAAACTGTTCTTGTGCCTCAGAGTAAAGATCAAATTAAAATAACGAATACACACATTAATAAATAAAATTCTCCCATCATCTTAGCTATCAGACTTCATCAGACAATTGTTTTGTATCATATTTTTATAATACATTACAAGCGCTAGATATTAATATTTAAAATTGAAAGAACTCTCTAAAATACTAAGAAAATACATTAAGATTAGTTGGTGTGAACAGTATACTTTCCTAGTATGGCTCCAATAGCACAACCAGTTGTGATAAATCAGTGAATTTTAGTCTGTGAGCAATGTTTTCACATTTTCAGGCCTAGTAGTTACCAACATATTCCAGTACCTTAGCGGAGTCAGTGATGTTATCCCAGTATGGAGAAGGAAATTCCAGCTTTCCAACCAGGATCTGATCAAAAAGATCTTCTTGGACATTGTTCTCACTAAGGATGAAAAGCAAGCAATAAAAATGTTCAGCATATAGAATCACAGAGTTGGAAGGGACTGCAAGGGCCATCTATTGTAATGTTCTACCATTCAAGAAAATGCAACTAAAGCACTCCTGAGATATAGTCATCCAACCTTTGTTTAAAGACCTCCAAAGAAGGAAGGACAGTTCACTGCCTTCTGAGGCCATCTACTCCGCTGATGAACATGTCTTACAGTAATTTGAATCAATTAGTTAGCATTCTAATCTCTAGAGCAGCAGAAAACACCTTTACTGCACCTTCTACATGACATCCCGCCAGATATTTAAAGGTATCACATTTCAGCTTTCTTTTTTCCAAGCTAAATATACCCAGCTAAATATAACTAAGCCATTCCCCATAAGGCTTGGTTTCCAGACCTTTGATCATCTTGGTTGCCCTCATTTGGACAAGTTCTAACTTGTTAATATCCTCCTTGAACTGTGGTGTCCCGAACTGGACACAGTATTCCAGGTTGAACAAAGCAGAACAGAGTGGCATTCACAACTTGCCTTGATCTGGATACTGTATTTCTGTTCATACAACCTAGAACTGCATTGGCTTTTTGTCCACCACCTCAACAAGCTTATTATTGTTCATTATTTGCATTTTCGGTTTTATTTTATGTAATTGTTGTTTTGGGCTTGGCCTCATGTAAGCTGCACTAAGTCCCCATCGGGAAGATGGTGGAAGGGTACAAATAAAGATTATTATTATTATTATTATTATTATTATTATTATTATTATTATGCTGACTTGTTTTTAATTTTTTTGGTCTACTAAGATTACTTGTACTGCTTTCAACTCGTGCCATGTATCTTAATGCATTTATTATATCTCCTATGTGATTCTAAAGGTTACTATGGTAATTTCCAAAAGCAGTGGTAACTAGATGCTCATCATGTTGCTTTAGTTTCTACTCAAACAATATCATATTGAGAAAAAAAATCCATTTTAAATCTAGTTGCTACCTCCTGCAGAATTCTGGGGTTTTTAGTTTAGGTAGGAGCCTTTAATAGCCTCACTAAACTACAAAACCCAGAATCCTGCAGGAGACACAAACCGGATTTTGAGTGGATTTTTTCTCTAGTGTGATGAAGTGGTAAATAACTTTGGACATAATTAATTTTACCCACCTTTGTAAGTGTACAAAAGGCAAAGGTTTCTAGCTGCTTTTGATGAAAGATATACAAAGATTTCTGTATTATATAGCATCCCCACTACTGACAATAAAATCTAATCCACAGTAATAGAAACAGCTCTTAAGCAAAACAATAAAATATTTTAGATTCCATGTCACAGTCTACCAACAAGCATGTACAAAGCCTTCTTTTTTTAAAAAAAAAGACTTGAAAGTTTTGTTCGAATTTTGTGAACAATACCCAATGCACATTAGAATCAGCAATGGATTTGTTGTTAGTATTTCCAACTTATTATGACCCTAAGGAAAATCTATCACAGATTTTTCTTGGCAGAATATATTCTGAGTTGACTTGATTTTGCTGGAAAGAATATGACTTGCCCAATGTTTCAATGGCTGAGTGAGGATTCAGATCCTGGTCTTCCAGTCCCCTAGTCCAAAACCCAAGTCACCATACCACATTGGCGATCTCAGAGGATAGCTATGCCAAACAGGCAGAAATATAACACTTTCTGTGTTATGCAGTCCAAGATGATTACGGGGAAATGTCTTTCTTTATATTTCAAAATAATAGTAGCTTGCACATGGGACATTTTTTCCACTATATTAAGCCTGGAGACACAGAAAACTGAAATAATATTTTGATCTTAAGACTTCAGTTGTCATTTCATGGATGTTTATGCTTTGAGGAAGCTACCCTTTCAATATAACACAGTCTTTCTGCCTCATGCAGGAAACCCAGAACAATCTACTGACCTTGGCTGACTATAACTGAGAAACACACAGAGAGAGAGTGAGAGAGAGCGAGACTAAAGGTGATTTCAAGTATTCTCTTGAAGCTCAAATAATTTAGCCCCAAATATGATGAAGTGCTGAACCAGCCAAAGTGATCCAGCCAGTTTGATCATCAATAGAGTTACTGATGCTGAATGTTTAAAGATGTATCAGAGGTGAATTACAGTTTCAAAAGTGCCAGTCCAGAGACTAACACTAGGGGGAAAGCTCTGCATGCTTAATAGAACAAATAAGCACTGACGAATGAGAGTCAAGGACAAAAGGACACAGAAACAGAAATCAGTTTCTTGCTTGGAAGCCTTGAGAAATACTGGTTATCTCCCCATTTCTTCCCATAATTAATTCTTTCTGACTATATCTATAGCAGGTAAGTTAGAGCATCAGAACTATCTGAACAAATGAAGAAGAAATGAAAGTGCACAGAAATAGGGAAACCAAAGCACACGGATATGTGTGTGTGTATGTGTGCCCATGGATACTGAGGGTCCACTATGTATGTGTGTGTGTGTGTGTATAAATTTAAACATTGAGATAGGTACAAGGAGGAATATTTCTGTCTTTGCTTATAATGGGAGGTAAGTGTTTAGTAATATTCCTTTGAATGAGTAATTCAAACCATGTTCTTCTTGCTGTGAGAAGGTATGTCAATATTGCAAAATGTTCATTGACTATTTCCAGTTCAGGAGTTATTCTGTGCAAAATTTAGATGCACCTGTTTTGTGTGTAGAAGTATTATTTTTTGTGCAAACCAACCATATGAAAATTTTGCTTAAAATAGATCCTGAAGTGTGAAGATTGTCATTAATCCAGGATTATTTTCATCATTTTTAAAAAGCCTTTTCAAACTTTTTTGATCATTATTCAAATACATTTAATTTCTGCTACTTTGACAGCCACCTCTCCACAAAAATCAACATTGACACTGAAATACAACACCGTTTGAGCTCTGCGAGTGCAGCATTCTTTCGAATGAGGCAGAGAGTTTCTGAGGATCGGGATATTCACAGAGAGACCAAGGTGCTTATTTATAAAGCTATAGTTCTCCCAACCCTGTTATATGCCTGCGAAACGTGAACTGTCTACAGACGTCACACTCAACTCCTTGAATGATTCCATCAGCGTTGCCTCTGAAAAATCCTGCAAATCTTGTGGGAAGACAGGCGGACAAATGTAAATGTGCTGGAAGAAGCAAAGACCACCAGCATTGAAGCAATGATCCTACACTATCAACTCCGCTGGACTGGCTGCATTGTCTGAATGCCCGATCACTGCCACCCAAAGCAGTTACTCTACTCCCAACTGAAGAAGGGAAAATGGAAGGTTGGTGGGCAGGAAAAGAGATTTAAAGATGGGCTTAATGCCAGCCTTAAAAACTGTGGCATAGACACCAAAAACTGGGAAGCCCTGGCCCTCAAGCATTCTACCTGGAGGTCAGTTGTGACCAACAGTGCTGTGGCATTCAAAGAGGCACAAATTGAGGGAGAAACATGTCAAGAGGAAGGTGTGTCAAGCCAACCCTGACCAGGACTGCCTTCCACCTGGAAATCGATGGCCTCAGTGTGGAAGAACATGCAGGTCAAGAACCTGGCTGCATTGTCTGAATGCCCGATCACTGCCACCCAAAGCAGTTACTCTACTCCCAACTGAAGAAGGGAAAATGGAAGGTTGGTGGGCAGGAAAAGAGATCTACAGTGACCTATGGACCCATTGCCAAGATGCTACGCTTGGAAGGCAATCCTACTCTAACACGAGTGATCGGAAATGATGGTGATGATGACATTTAATATTTTCCTATGAATAATGTTTACTGTGTATTGTTGTGGTTATTATACACTTACCTACGAAATGGTGGAAACCCACATAACAGTATATACGTAATGACCCCTGCAGCCCAAATGTCCACTTTTAAGCCATAGCTGTTATAAAAGAAAAGGGATAGGAAATGTTATACTTCATACACACACTGCAGGATACATCATGAGAAACTTTTAGATTTATGTGCTTTCAACCATTTGTGTCCTTTTAATTTACAACTGTAGCATGTCAGCAATGCAGGATTTTCTGACAAAATTACCAACTACACAAAAATAGTTAAAGACCACACTGAGATGTTATCCATACTTTTATACTAACTTTTATTATATGGAATAAAGCAAAAATCTATTGACTGGCATCTCCAGTTCCTAAAGTCACAGTATATTTTGTATGAGAATGATGTCAATAACACCTTGCAGATGGCTAAAACTTTGTCTTCCATGAATAAGAGCTGGGATCACATATGTGCTTTTCTTTGTGTTTCTGTCACAAATCCTTTATAATTAATACTGTAAGGATTTTCACTGAACTATCGCTTGTCATTATATCTCCAACAAAAAACCAATGGTTTGTTGAGAGCCTTAGAAAACAGAGCTTTGGAATATATCAAAGAAAGAAATACTTTTTTAAATAATGAAAGTTCTCACCCTGTCTCTGCAATGATTTCAGGAGCCACATAAGTTGGTGTACCACAGACTGTATAGAGAGGGCCTTCAACCACAGTGGCCAGACCAAAGTCTCCTAGTTTCAAGGACTTTGTCCCATCTGGATACTCACAGACCTGGGAGGAGAGAAGTGAGTGACACCTTACACTGTAGAAATACAGGAATGGATCCTTGTAGGATTCCTGTCAGGATTAGGGCATATATAATGAGTATACCGATCATTTCAGGAACATGCAATATGAATACTTTTCCCTACCTAAAACAGCTCGATTGAATCTGCAAGTTATTCCAAGTAGCTCCATTCATATGTCACCCTAAACCAGGGGCGAGAAAGTATGTAGTTCCCAGAAGCACTCTGAAGAACCCCAGTGTCCCCAAGTTCCCCCAATTTTTTAAAAAATATTCTTAAGAAAAAAAGCATTTCCTGCTAAGAAGCAATTGCATTATGCTATCATTGTTCTTGGCTGTTTTAGGGAGAACGCCTTCTTAAAATCAGGAAGCGATTTCCGAATAACTTTCTAGATTTTTAGAAATCTATTTTCTAGGATTTTGTCAGAAGACTTCTTGTTATAAAAGTTCAGACATTTTTGCAGAGTAAGGGGAAAGAAATAAGCATGCATGTGCCTATTTTTCAAATCCAGATGGAGAGAGGTTTCTGAACACTGGTTTCAAGCAGTCAGAGAAAGGAAACTTTGCAAAGGAAACTGGCACACATTTAGGACTGGTATTTCTCCTGCCATATTTTCAGAGGCTAGATCTAACACATCACAATTACCTGTCACACGTTACATGGGAAAGGAGTAACTGTGCCAATAAAATGCAATATAATAATAGATATGAACATTAAGAGATTTGTGCAGTGAGTAATAAGTCCATGCTAGCCTTTTGTGTTACTTTCCAGGAGATAAATGCTCTTTAAGAAGCATTTTTAAAAACTTTTTTTTCAAAAGAGCGCGTCAGAGAAGAAACTACTGATTTTATGTAGAACTCCTATATAAGCAAGTGAAAGTATTGACTTCATGACAGTGTTGAGGAAGGAGGAGCCAGGCTTAAATACTAATACTAATACTAACACTTCATTTGTATTCCACCCTATCTCTTCGAAGGCACTCAGAGCAAACATTAAATGCCTCAAAACAATGATAACAGATACCCAGATAAGGGTAAAGGCTTCCCCTTCATCTACAGCTCTGAGAGTGGTGCTCATCTCTATTTATAAACCAAAGAGCTTGTGTTATCCATAAACATCTCCTAGGTCACATGGCTGGCATGACTGCATAGAGAACCATTTACCTTACTGCGGAGGTGGTACCTATTAACCTAGTCACATTTACATGTTTTGAACTGCTAGGTTGGCAGGCACTGGGGCCAACAGCAGGAACTCATCCCATCCCATGGATTCAAACCGCCAACCTTCTGGTGAGCAAGTTCAGTGTTCAATGGTTTAACGCATTCAATCACTGTGGCCCCTATATGTATTAAATACTATGCATATCACATTTCCCCCACAACTAATGACAACATGAGAAGTGTAAAGTGAAATTGACTGGACTTAGCAAAGCCTCACTATTCACTATGTATCATTTCCAGAAAAGCTTTTATTTTTATTGGGCCATCAACCCAAACAATGGTTTAGAAAGTACAAGATGACAGGTTGTGTTTTCTTCATGGTGCAGAGTGATGGCATGCTCTCTTTCAGTCTGTAAGGCTGCTTCTTTTTCCATCTGTAGAAAACTAACTTAGCGTTTCTTTAAAGTGGCTGCCTTTATATAAATGATTTCATGCAATGTTTCATTATTCTTTATCAGTTGTCTGTTTTCGTTATTGGATATTTATTCTTCTGCTTTCTCCAAATAGTTTTCACTCTTGGATGCAACTATTAGTAGAAAGACAACTGTAAATTGTTATGCCCAAATACACTATATAATATGTGGTGACAGTTCAACAAAAACCTTCATAATCCTTGATGTAACACTGTGTTTGCTCTTATTTATCCTACTTGCATGTAAAAATGTAGAACTAGTAGAACTGAATGCATATCAGACAAGTGGCTGATCTCACATCCAGCAACTGGATTTGTTTTCGGGATAAAGAATAATTTACATTGAGAATGCTTATGACATCCCAACATGCAGGTCTATTCTAGTCATGGCATCTGTTAAATAATCTCTTTAGGGTTTCTAAGCCAAAAGTGCATCTGTGCCTATTTATATCTGATTTGATTACTAATGAGAGCTTAAAGTGTCAGATTAGCCTGAGAGCCTCAACTCACTTAAGTTCCTGATGTCACTGTTATTTTTTTAGCGTGTACAGACTCCAGCTGATGGGCCCTATGTCATTAGGGCAGAGAATTCACGCTGGCGTTTAACCCACAGTTTAAAGGGACTAACCAAAGTGCTGGATCTGGATTTTGAAGCCAGGTTCAGCACTCTGAAGTATGAACTAAACCAGTGATGGCAAAGCTTTTAGAGACAGTGTCCAAACAGGGTGGAGTGGGGGATTGGGCACCAAGGGGATGGCGAGCGAGGAATGGGGTGGGTGAGAGAGGGGGAAGCAAGCAGGTGGGGGGCAAGTGAGTGGGGGCCCAATGACACACATGCAGGGAGAGAAGGCACTGCATTTCCCTTCCGCCATGTATGCCATAGGTTCACCACCAGTGAACTATAAACCCCAGTATAGACTCAGCAGAAACTACTTAAAAACTGCAAGCTTCTACTAGTAGAATCAACAGCAATCCACACAGCCTGTCAGTGTTACTTCTTGTTTGCTAGAGGACCTCTTTAGTGAAATAAAGCATCAATGGTGTAATTTTTCACACTGAGATTTTCTTCAAGGTACAGTCTTGGAAATTTTATTTTCTGTTTTGGAAGCCTATGTAAAAACAACTAAAATGGTTTTGCAAAGTACAAAATCCAACATTTTGGGTGAACCTTGCTAGCCAGATTGAAAGCTCTAGTTCCTCCCATTCACATACTTTCCCTTTGAAAAATCAGAGGCACTCTGGCTCCACTACAAAGATGCTCTGTGTACCTTTACGCAGCAGAGGGCAGTGTTTCCTCCTCCCTACCTGATTTATTAGGAAATTCCTGTTGGGAAGGAGGAAGCAGAATCATTATAGAGCTGTTGCTCTTTAAAAACTTTGCTTTCCTTCCCAATTGAAAAGCCAAGCTGGAGAGGAAGGAAGTCTTTGTTACTCTAGTGCAGAAACAACTACTGAGAGCGTCCTGTGCTAACTGGCGCCTGCCTCCTCGTAATGTAACAGCTCATCTGGTGCCTAGTCCACTTATGTCCAGAGACCTTGCACAGGCCTTCAGTTCACTGGTTGCAACTGTGTCATCTCAAAATATTTCACTAATATTTTAGCATTTTTCATTCGATATGCTTCATGTTTTATTTTTAAAAGTGCTTTAGAAATGTCACTTTAAAAGCACAGTGCAGCTTTTAAAAATGAGTACATCCATAAAAATAACGTTTTCTGAACTACACTGAAATATTTGTAATTTCCACCTGTTCTTACAAAAAAACATTTTCCCCCATCTAAAGTCTTCATTGTGAAAAGAAATCCTGCTTACCTAAGATACAATCTCTAATCAAAATGTAAATTAGGACAGGATTTGGAAAGGTTAAAAGAGAGAAAAAATCACATGATGAAAATTATTAATATTTCATGCAAATAGCTTTCATTTAAGAATACAATCATTCAATTCATGTTTCTCTACACCTGATTGCTTCTTAAAACGTGCATAAATGCATGCATTTACATTAATATAGTTGAGAGGCGGAGTATAAATCATCAACTATTTCACCCATGTGAGAATGAGTAATTAGGTTTTTTTTACTACAGTAAGAAAAGGAACAGTCCTCAACAGCATTCTCTCCATATCGGAATCTCCTGAAGAACTGTGGAGGTATCAGTCTGCTTTATAAAACATATGTTTTGCGCAAAATCTCATTTTCCACACAGAGAAAAAAAACATTTTTTTAATGCAGGAAACAGTCCTTTATCAGCAGAAAAGAGGGGCCCTTTTTTTTTAACAGAAAAACTGCTTTCAGCATAGAAAAAAGTGCTTTTGCATCAAAGCTGCTATGTGTTTTTATGCATATTAATTCCTCCACAATACTTAAGGACAAATACGTAGGAAAAAAATGTACATGATTCTTATTGGTCTATTATTCTTCCCAGTAGGGTTTCCTGATTTTTGGGAAGCTTAATTTTTGACCTGGGAAGGAATAATAGCACATGGTTTATTAAAAGTAAACCAAGTAAAAACGAGAAGCATACCAGGAGGTTCTCTGGTTTAATGTCTCTATGGACAATACTAAGACCATGGAGATATTTCAATGCACTGGCTAGATTGTAAACCATGGCACTTCCATCACGCTCTGTATACTTTGTTGAAGAAGTAATAGCATCAAAAAGATCTCCTCCCTGAAAAGGAGAAAGAGGAAACAAATATTTAGCAAAGCAACTTTTATATAAAATTAATACCTTGTTTGATCTTCATCAAAGCCAATATCAATGTTTCTATAACAATATGCTGCAAATAGGAATCACAATGGACACAGTACAATGCAACATGAAGCCATAGATATTATATAATAAAAGACGACTGTGTCTCCAACTGTAATCCTGTTCAGATTTGTTTAAAAGTGAGTTCCATTCAGCAACGTACAACCTCCAATTAAGCCTTCTAAGGGAAGTGAAATACAATGTGTATTTCGCTTCCCTTAGAAGTGTTGTGTATTCGGGGTAAACCTTGACCTGTTTCATGTCCTGGCTTTCAGTGTGTGTGTGGGGGGGATTTCCCACCCAGGCTCCCCTTCCCAGTGCACGTTTTAAGGAGACTACTTCTTATCTGCTGTTACTACTTTAGAGGAGGAGCTCAGCTGCAGGCACAGGCACTTTCTGGGCATGCACGATGTACATGCACTCTCCTTAGAAAGAAAATGTGTGTGTGGTGCACAGGCCTACAAAGCACCTGTGCCTTTAGAGTAAGAGGTGCTCAGATGAAGGCACTGGCAGGCATGGGTGCTTTCTGGGCCTGCATGCCACACAGGCACTTTCTTGCCAAGGCAAGGAGGCAAATTCTGGGAGGCTGCAGGCGCGCATACTTTCTTTCCCAGGCTAAATCTAATACCAGCCAGCCACACACTTTCCAAGGCATTTTAAGGAGGCTTCCCACTTTCACGTAAGGAAGAGAAATAACCTCTTGGAAAGGAGAGTAGTTTTCAGGGAATGAGGGTTTATTTTTTTGTTTGCAGGGGGATTAATAAAAAAGATTAAACTGTGTTGCCAAAAAACAGACCAGGTACCCGCTCCCACTTGCTTTCATGTCAAGCTGATTCTTATACCAGGAGGGGCCTTCCTGTTCCATGCTCCCGAAGTAATGAAAGAAACGAATGAAACAGGAGAAACAAATTCCGCACACAACCCTAAATGCAGGTACTTACACAGTTTTCTGAACATTTGTGCATAAGATTCTAGAACCAGCTATGATTTCATATTCAGTGATATTAAATCCTCTCACCTTTACCAGTTCCATCACCAGATAGAGCTCAGTTGCAGTATCCATTTCCTCTATGAGCATGATAATATTGGGATGTTTCACTCTACGCAATATTGAGACTTCATTTTCAATCAAGTGCTCCTGTATATTGTTGGGAAGAAGGGAAAATCCAAAACAGGCCTTACTTTAACAATGTAGTCCGAAATACAACTTTGGAAGTGACAGATCACCTTTTACAGTGCAGCTCTCCAACTAATTTTCCTTGTAACATGTACACCGTGGCTTTCAAGACATTTTTGATGAAACAACATAGGTACAAACTCAGTGGTCTCAAATATCCTTCACTAAGATGGATTTACAAAGGATTTTCAGCTAAGAAGAATTAATGATGACTACTTTCTATAAGATGCTTTCAATTTGAAGAAACCAACAAGATATATTCCACGGCAGTGTTCATTTCATTTTAAAAATTGTAATAGTTGCAACAAACACTTTTCAAGGTAATAAAAAACCCTTATCATCAACACATTCTACCATCATGCGTCTCATGCATTTGTGATGGAAACTGCAAAAAGTACAAGTGAGCATTCTATGAATGATGAACATGAACCACGTTTGAAAAATTCAATTCTTCCTGTCCTATATAATAAAGATAAATTGATCAAATGACTAGGGAAGTTGCTTTGCACCCAAATCTGTTTTGGTTCATTAACTTTACCCCAAATAATTAAATTACTAAAAACCCACATGCCAAGTGTGCATCTCCTCCTGTGAACATGTGGCACATCAGACACTCCTTTAAACAAGTCGCACCTTTGAAACCCAATATGTGTGAGCATCAATAGCCTTTCTGGAACAAACATATGTCTGCTCCAAACAAACGTATGCTGGAGAAAAGAAAAAACAAAATATGAATGGGTTTTAACAACATGGCTGAAACTTAGCTAAAGAAAAAGGTCATAAGACTGAGAAAATAAAAACTAACAAAACCAACAAAGAGTACTACAGTTGAGATACGGTATGGAGTGATGGTCTCTCATGCCGCTACAAACAGTGTTATCAGTTGAAGGAACAAGCAATTGTGTTAGGCACCGTAAGCATAAAACAAACTGCTTGAAGTAAGGCCTACTGTAACAATATTTTGTTTATGAAGAAACCTTCAGCCCTGTTTAAGGAGTCGTGATATTTTAACATATTTTAAAATAGCAATACATATGTCTCCTTCCTGACCTTGGTATGTTCATTCATGAATATCTTTGTTTTGACCTCAAAACCGGATAGAGGGCAGCACAACCCAACATGGGGAAATCCCTCACACCCCTTGAGAAGCACCTGCAGTGATTGTCAACACGAGCACCGCTATCTTCTTCTGCCCTGAGGCAAGGAAAGGCACACTGATTTTGTTAGTATCCCAGTATCCTTTTCCTGCTGGGAAATGGATGACCTCTACTGGGACAGAGATCTCCATTGTTTTCCATTTCCATTGAGTGAAAAGGCCCACAATGGACTTTTCCTTGGTGTAATTGCATTCTGCTGAAGTCATTTTCAATTTAGTCCTGCCAAGTAACTTCTCCAAGGAACAAATTCCTGGAAATCTCCATGATTATGGTTAAAGATGTCCACTAGCAATGCTGCCTTTATGCTTTTGTCACAGAAAGAAGACCAGAGATATTCAAACTTCCACTCATCACCTATAATTTATAAACACTACAATTTTCCATCACTGTTGTACTGATATAGGTTTGAACCATGTTCAAGTGAAAAAGAGGCATGTTCAAATCTCCAACAATGATTGCCATTATCTGTTGGGGCTCAGCAGCAGGTTGCTGGGGAATCCTCCGAGGATGAGGGAGATGATGGTTTTCTCACTGAGTCTCTGTGTTATCAGGCTGAAACAAATGCTGAATTCCATGCCTGTTTGGGATTCTGGTTCTCTTTGGAATTGGCCTTCAACAGATGAGGAGTTTAGCCATTATATCAGATTTGGCCTCCGCATAGAGGGAGTGAAGGATAGATTAATTAGATGGTCAGAAAGAGTCCGTGAGAAGTCCTTGAAACTCTGTAAGAAGTCTTTCAAACCCAGGTGTCAGAGAGATGACCTCATGGCTTCTTGGTAGGGCCTGAGCTTAAATTAAGTGATGTTTTCTTGGAATCTCCAGAGCAGGCAACAATCCCACAGATTCAAGTTCCTGGATCAGCTCTCATGTTCATAAATCTTGTCTCCTGTGTTTGCCTGTGTTTCTGTAAGTGTTTTGCCTTGGAAAAGTTACTGTTTTTATGCTTATGAATTTAAACCTATGATCTTGATTTCCTGGATTGCATGTACCTTGCTTTTATGGACTACTGAATCTTGTATATATGGACCACTGCTATTTTATAGCAAATTTTCTACTGATTTTTGGGAATTTCCTTTCCCTCCTCTTGTACATGCTTTTCTAAATAACTGCTGTAGTTAGATACTACGGGGCCCTGGTGTGGTGTTGGGTGAAAAAGGGTGACCTCAAGGCAAGAGTGCAACATTATCTGCAGTTTCCCATATTGCACTGAACACTGACCTGTGATAGGCTTTTAAAGGACACACAGAACTTCATCAGAAAAGAAGCAATGAAAAAGCAGGCGTCTACTTGCAGAATTGGATCCAATGTATCAATATACGTAACACAGAATACACAGATTAAATCATTTTCCTTATTGTATTCTTCTAATAAAACATATAGTGTATATCAACTATGTTTAAGCTAAGGATAGTTCCATAACATCATTTTTCTCTGTTAAAATAATGAAACGTGGCACACATTTTCTGCTTGAGTATTCAAATACAAATCTGCAAATAATAAGATGGGCTATCTGGATGCTTACTTTGCTAAGCATACGTTTGTGAATAAAGATAATGTGACACAAAAATTAATGCATACAGCACATTAAATAAACAGTTGTAAATGTTCTTATAAGGGAATGTTTCCCGATTATTGTATGCTGCCACAAGGTACTTAAATATAGTTTAAATAGCGATCCCTTGGGATTTTGTAAACTACACCAAAATAGATAGGATAATGCAAACCTGTGGAATTTTATTATTATTTTGAAACATATGGAATTACTGTAGAATAATCTTCTATCTTATGATGCTGTCATGCATCATATGATGCATACGTACCTTTCCACAGCATTTCCCTTTGTCTATAATTTTCAGGGCAAACTCCTTTCCAGTGGATCTATAAAGAACAAGAAAAGAGAAAAAATATGAAATAAATCTTTGCCTTTTTGTTCAATGTTCATTTCTGTTTTTATCTGAGTGCACATTGTGGCAATAAGATCTCTTTTCATCAGTGGCAACAGATGACAAAATTAAGGCAGAAAACTGCTTTTATACATTTTTTCTCTCTCAGTGAGATATGTCTGCTGTTGCCTTGACTACCAAAACAGGCTTTCTGCTGTCACTTACTATAGTGTGACCTAATGGTTCACATTATGTCCTCTTTTAGCATCAGATGTTTCATTTCATTCAATTCTCTATAACTGACAATTGCATGACAACCATTTACAGATTTGTTCATTGTTTCAGAGTATGGGAATAAGGCTGACTGGAGAGATTTGTATTATGTTATTATGTTAGTCTAAATCCTATAGCATTTAGAAAATTAATTAGACACAAATAGCTTTTTGAAATGTTCATATCAGAAATATTCAGTGACCATTCAATCTACATCTATGAAATCTTTACATTGTTTTAAAAAATAGGCCATCAGAGCGTCCTACAGATTACACCTGTTTCTATTATGTTTAATCACTACAAGCTTAAGGGGGAAAGGAAACACTGCAAGACTTAATTTGCTAAAAACATTTGAATTAACAAGCTTCAGGTTTTTAATGCTAATTGTAAAAGCAACTTTGGTAAAAATAAAATAAAATAAAATAAAATAAAAAGATACTCAAGAGGAAGAGGTGACCATTTTAGCAACACTGAACTATGGTGTAACCATGTCCAAATAAAAATGGCTTCTGTATTCTTTACTAAAGCAAAATGAAACTACAATTCATAAAGACTATTTTAAATTTCCAGGGTTTTTTTTAATGCCTCTACCTGATAATAGTCTATCCTCAGCAATTCTACTATCACAAATTAATATGTGCCTGAAAGAACACTTGGTTAGAAATTAGGCTTGTGCAATTCAGCTGGAAGGCAATCTGGTTTCGACCTCCGAATATCATTGGGCACCCAGATCTGTTTTTGGCCAAGCAGCTAGAAGGTCAGGGAAGATCCAGCCAATTGGCAGCAATGGAGAACTTGCAATGCTCCTCTTTCCATTCCTGGGATCCCTTCTTTTCTTTCTTTCAAGGGAGTCTGGATCTGAGCAATGGCGTTAAGGAAGCACCCTTCCTGGGACCCATTCCTTTCTTGCCTTCAAAGGAGTCTGAGTTTCAGCAACGGGGTTAAGGAAGTACCCTTCCTGGGACCCTTTTCTTTTTTTACTTTCAAAATAGTCTGGGTTTGAGCAACCCAGTTAAGAAATCAGTGTGTAAGACATGGCATGGTGTTCTATTCAGCTTGGCCTAACAGTCAGGGCTCACAGGGAAACCCCGTGTGAGCAGCATGCAGCAGCCTCTTCACGCACTGTGTGGTGCTGAATAGGGCTGGAGGAGCCATGATCAGCTGCCACGTGGTCCCGTAATGGAAAAAAAAATGACATCTGGGCCCTTACAACCATCCGGCTAAACCAAATAAGCCGGATTGGCCAAAGGGAACTGACCACTCCACATCCGTGCACAAGCCTATTAAAAATACAACGACCCGAATGTAATAGTTTGTCCAAATTCTACCAAATCCACTAACCCCATAAAATATACACCTAGTGCTGACTTTTCCATTGATTCAATGGATTTACTCTTATTACCATTAATGCATGGCAAATTGTATATGTCAGTGAAAACCCCCACTTTACTACAGCACTTTGCTACGAATCCAGAGGTTTGTAAACAAAGGTTTCCTGCAATGTATTATGTAGCACAGCCCACAGAGCTTTAGCATCCTCCACTCCTTTTCATGGACCTGGTTGCCACTTCTGTTTAATCGCAGCAGCTTTTATTTTGAAAATGATTCAATAGTGCCCAGTTATTATGAGCAGAAATAGCAGTAATCATGATATTTTGAGGCAGTCACGCTTGGCTAATCAATCCATGCTGTACATGTGTAGTACCTGAGTTGAATATATTAAAGACTGCTGTTAGGGAACAACACGGTGTTTGTAGCAGACTACCACTGGTGCGAAAGCACAGCTGCGTCTGCTGGGTTGTCATAGTTACAGCTGGATCCAGCCGAGAAGAAAAGCAAGGAAAATTTCAATAGCACTTTGAAAGGCATGTGCAGAAATTATATCCAGAGATGCATAAGTGCAAGAAATGCTGGTGCAGGCAATGTTTTTGAAACAATTGCCCAAAATCCGAAGGAACACTCCACCAAGCACAGCATTAAGATCCAAAGCATAGATTTTAACATGTTTGTGGGATACTATGCTATGATCCCACAAGTGCACGTATAGCAATGGAAGTATACTGTGGAAGTAATTTCTTTTTTCTTATGTGAAATCCTTGACTTGGCTAGAATCTATTTGAAGATAGCTCTTTCTGGAACCAATGATATGTTTTGAAATTGCCACAGACATAGCTAAAAACCTTTAATAACTGAGCCAAGTATCATTCAAAACCCAAAGAAGTGTATATAAATCAGCATTATGATAGTGCCTTCTATTTTAAATTGCGGTGCACTGTATTTATTTATTTACTATATTTTTACCTTGCCCTTCTCACCTTGAAGGTGACTCAGAGTGGCTTGCAAGGATTGGCAATACCCAATGCCATACAAACACAAATACAATATACACAAATATTAAAATCAAATCAATTAAGAAATCATAAAATATATTTCATTAGCACATTAAAATGAGCTTTTAAACCCAAACAAATTCTGAAACATAGTCCAGAAGCCATTCCAATTATCACGCTTACTTCATTGCTGCCTACTGCACTGATTCTCCAAAGGTTTGGTCGCATAGCCAAGTTTTCAGTTTCTTTTTGAAGGTCAGAATGGAGGGAACAGATCTAATTTCACTGGGAAGGGAGTTCCAAAGCCAAGAGGCCACCACTGAGAAGACCCTGTCTCTTGTACCCACCAGTTGCGCTTGTGAAGGAGGCAGGACCAAGAGCAGGGCCTCCCCAGAAGATCTTAATCTTCATGGTGGTTCATAGGGAGAGATGCGTTCAAACAATGAGCACTATTTCATTTTTTTTTAAAAAAAGGGTAATCCAGAATATTTGAAAAGTATATATGTATAGATCCTGTTTTTATTAGTCTTATTCTTTGTTTATACCCTATATTTCTCCCTGAAGGAACTCAGAATGACTAACAACCGCACACATCGATTTAAAACAAAGTTAATACATTTTTAAAAAAAACCAGTTAAATAGTACTATGTGTCAGAATAAAAATACAGTTAAAATATAATAAATACAGTTAAAATGCATTTTATTATTTTTCTGCTTTTCTATTTTAATTGGGACCCAAAGCATCTCACAACCCTTAGTACAATTTAAAACTTACAACAATAAACACTAACATAGAATTAAGCATACAATTATTAAAACAACCCAGTTAAAATTCTATTAAACAAGTAAAAACTGTGCAAAACAATTAAAACATCATACAGTATCTCCTGACCCATTGTTTTAAAATCCTGCTTTAAATTAGGAGGATAGCAGGGAGGGGACCCTTCTGGCCTTCCTGGGCAGGAAGTTCCAGAGTTGAAGGGCAGCCAACAAGAAGGTCAACCGAACTTGTGATGTGGTGGGACTGAGGGAAGGACCTCTCCTGAGGATCTCAGGGCTCGAGTAAGTTATACAGGGAGATACAATCTGCCAAATAGCCTGGATGTGAGCCATATAGAGTTTTATAGGTCATAACCAGCACTTTGAATTGTGCATGGAAACAAACTAGCAGCCAGTGGAGGACTAAAATGTCACTACTTAACTGTGGATGGAGAAGAGTCTACTGAATTCTTTTGTTATTTAATTCTAGATTTAAGGGCATACATATTATCATCCTTCAACTCACCCATGGGATGGAAGAAGAATGCTCCCTAGTCTTTTGTTTCGAATACAGTGGAACGAAGAAGTCCTAAGAGTCCGGACTGGATTTACTACAAGCATTTATTATTTTGATAATGATCATTCTCAATAGATCAAAGAGAATGGTTGTGTTTTAAAAAGATGCAATTCGTATATATATAGCAATGAAAAAAGACTTGGCCGCTGCTTTTGCCATATGAAGTCTTACACTCCTTTTCTCTGCTTCTCTCTTTCCTTTGCTTCTTCCGCTTCTGTGCCTCCCACAGCTTTTCTTACCTCACCTTTCTCCATGTTTCAATTTCTAGCCATCTGTTTTCCCATTCTGTTGCTCCACTTACTTCTGTTCTCCTTTTCAGGCTCCTGTCTCCTTTTGCCTATACTTTGACACTTCCTTGTGTCCATGACTTGGATTCTAAGGTATTAATCTGACAAAGTTCATAGAAGAAAAAAGTTTCCTCTCTCTCTTCCAGCCTTTCCCTACTTGCAAGAATTCAAGTCTAGTTGTCTTCTCCTTTTGGAAATGCCTCCCTTCTCGAAGAGATTCAGTCTGTCTGTCTCTACTATCTTTCCAACAGCAGGCAAACCCCTTTCTGTTTAAAGAGTCCTTCAACCTTTAATTTATCAGCATAGAGGAATACCTGTTTAAGTATTCTTTTTTTAGTATATATATATTATTCTTTTTAACTGACTTAGTCTCAATGTATTAAAAGGAGTGTTTTAATTGAATGTATGGTTTGATGCTTTTAACACTTTTGTATTCCAGGTTGTTTTAAATGCTCTGTTTTAATCATATTGCAATTTGCCTTGAGTTCCATTTGAGAAAATACAAATAAAAAACATACATGAAAAATATCTAATGATATTTGAGTGAGTTCTCTTTTTTGCTTTATCAGTGTCATTAGGGAAGGTAAAGACACTGAATGTTACATTGATTTTTTTTCATTCATTGTAAGTGTCCAAAAGAATTGCTCTATTTCAGAAGCCCTGCGATCACTTGGTCATTTGAATACATGAACTAGATCACTAAACTGGAGTCTAGCTATTGCTGTAATTGGGGGGGGGGGGGGGGGGGGGGGGGGGCAAGGCAGCTGAAATGTTACCAGACAGTCTGGATTTTAGTCAGCGATCCAGTCTCCATAGCTTGTATGGATTGTTAAAGTGCCTTCTGTTGAACATTCCATTATGCAGATATATACACTGTTCAAAAGAAATGTTGTATTGCCTGGTGAGGGAAAGAAGGCTAAAAGGCAACCAGAGATCAGAAAGTGTCCACCACCTTCTGATCTCTCTTACATCTCACACCTCAACAACAAGGAAAAAGTAATCGTTGCTGTAAGTTTTTCGGGCTGTATGGCCATGTTCCAGAAGCATTCTCTCCTGACGTTTTGCCTGCATTTATGGCAGGCATTCTCAGAGGTTGTGATATGCTTCCTAGATGAGGATGCCAAGGTAACCTATCAGCATGTCCTACCTTTCAAGCACCACTCCCAGATCCCACCTTGATCCTTATTAGGAGAGCAGTAGACACACCCAACATCCCATAGGGGGGACGGATCCAGAGTAAACAGGCACTTTACAAATCAAATTACAGTCTTTAAAAATGCAGGTTCATTTCTAAAACAGTTGTATGTTGTGTGTCCCTACATCACCAGACTCAAGATGGGTACAGACATTTTTCAAGCAGAGACCACCTTTAAGAGGCAATTCTGACAGAACAGCTCCAAATTCTATCAAATCATGCCTTATAACAAGTCTGTCCTTCCTCATAACCTTTATCTTTCTTTTGGCAAAAGATGCCATATTCTTTTGGAAAATGTGAATCTCCATGACCATTTGGGAAATGAAAATCATAACCTTTTTGGAAAACCATTGGTCACTGATGTTCATCAGCATTCATTCAAGGCAACTAGGTCTCTCAGCTGTTAAACTGATGTACCTAGGTATATATTTGAACTGCTAGGAACAAAGACATGCCAATGCACAAAAACATATATTCTGCAGTTTCAGAAGTATTCTTTGAAATTTCCCCAAAACATCTACTCTCCCTTAAAATATATCTGCCTTTAAAACATGTTCTCAAGACACAAAATAGTCTTCTTCAAAAGTAACAGAGTTGGTTTACTCACAAAACTTCATGTATACAGCATATATGCACTTTGCTTATGAGTCCAGTTACAATATAATTTTAAGTAGTTTCTCTGTGTAGGTAACACAGGACATCTTCCTTGCATTCAATAGTCTATAGTCCAAAAGAATCTTTAAGCATACATATTACTGAAGTCTAAACTGTATAACTGTATTCATTGGTTCTGATGCAAACACACACTTCTCTATATGGCTTCTACTCTCTCTAAGTGTCCAATGATTTCTATCTCCACTGAAGTCTAAAGCAAACACAGATCTAGAAGTCTTAATCCTGATCACATGGTCTGCAGTTCCTCCCATAAAAAAGAGGTTAAATAAAATTGCAAACCAGTACACACTTACAAAACAGTAAGCAATTATATACATAACAAACAACTAGTGGAGACTTGAGAAGGTTGCTGTTTCCAACACTTTTTCTCAAGGTCACCTGATGTTTACTGGTAAATGTCAAAAATGGTTATGAATGTGCTTTAGACATTGATCAGCTTTAGATATACAACAAAAAGCAAAAGATTTAGCAGCAATACCTGACTGTTCTTGAAACCATAATAATTTCTCAATATATACTCTGCACAGATTTTTTAAAACTACATTCAAGTAAAAGTTAGGCAATTTCATGGCTTACCGTTCTATGCATTCCTTTACCACAGCAAAATTGCCATCTCCAATCACCTTCCCCACTTTGTATTTCTCAAGAATAGTTGATGTCCCTGAACATTTGTTTCCATTCAAACCTACAGATGGAAAGAATAAAAAGCAAGCTGAGTAGAAAAATAGCTGTCTGATTGACCTTCAGTGACCCCTAGCTTAGTATGCATCTGTACCCTTAGTGTCAACATCTGAATTTAAAAAATAACTCATTTTAAGTACTGTGTCCTTTCAAATTTGCACCTAAAATGGGAAAGAAAGAGCAAGTAATGACCTTGCTGTGTTATCAGAGGGCAAGCATTAAGGCATGGTTTTCATAACTGTTTTTCTAACACTTTAATAGTCGACATACAGATATTATCTGATTAACTTATACTGCTCTCAGTAAAAGGTACCTGGAAACACAAATATCAAAGGTTTGGCAATGACACCAAATATTAATTCTGCAAAATTATTCACAATTATATTTTTTAAATACTAACATTTTCTGTTTGGTTTTCATTCATAAACTTGTGCTTTTAACTATGTTTCAGGCGCTTCAGGGCTAAGTACATAAAGTAAATATTACTTTTTATCTATTATGTTCTATTAGAAATGAAAGTCCATATGCCTACAAATGGTCAGACTGGTTTAGATGAATGACTTCAAAGGCAATATAAACACTAATACCTAGCCTTATTTATTGGAAATCTACAATGTAATACCAGCCCTATTAGTATTAAGGAACATGCAAACAAATCAATCAACCACTCCTACTTAATATCAATCAAAATGCAATACTTGATGGTCCCCTGAATGACAAATGCTGAAGAAATTGTGGTGCAAAAAATACCGATTTAAATGTGTTGTAAGAATGTCACAGGTAACAGGATCAAAGTTTTCCAAATGATAAGCAAAATAACAAATCTAACAAGACTACTCTTTTTATTTGATAATCAATGGAGATCACAAAAACATAAAGAACTACAGTGGTTTCATGGCACTTGGGTTTAGTTCCAGGACTAAAATTTGTGGGTGCTTAACTCCTTATATATAATGGCATGGTTACCATTATTACATAAAATGGGAAAACAAAGATTTGCTTTTTAGCCAGGGGTTGCTGAATCCATAGATACAGAATCCAGATGTGGAGGGCTGTCTGTAGTCAAAAAGCTTGAAATTACTTTGAGATATAAAACTCTGAGTTGTTTAACAATAGAATTTGGAATGAAACATCTTTAGGATGCTGCTTTGATCATATTGGAGATATGAATGATCCTTGGATATATATATATATATATTTTTGCAGTTTAGTTTCCATTTATTGACTTCAATAATTATTCCGCTAACTTAGTTGCCCCTCCTGAATTGCATATAAACAAGTGAAACAATGTTATTACTAGGAAAGACTTGAGGTAGTTTACTATATGTAATGTGGATTCCAAGATGGTACTCCATTCTTATATCTTGAAAACTATATTTGAAATTTGTTATTTGGTGCTTATCTTTCTGATTGTTTAAATAACGAACACAAAAAATATTCAAAAACAATTCCATTATTAAATGTCTCTTAGAGTATTGATCTTTTTGCAATTATCCAACCTTGCCTCCTCATAAACAATTTTCACAAATTAAACACAGTTGCTTTATTTAAGTGGAGGGTAAAATTGTGTGTGGCTATTAAAATATATTGCAATATAAATATGCATAAAATTCAGAATACCTGAAATGCTTGTAAAACTGATTAAAAGAACTTGCAGACTTTCTAMAACAGCAAAAACATCTCAACTCAAACGTTTATTTTATGCATGGGTGATCAAGATTTATCTAGAGAAGTCAATTAACAATTACCCCCCCCCCCCTACTGATTGTTATTGAGAAAAGTACTGCTAATACAGCAGCAAGAGAAAGCAGTTTAGACCGGAAGGTACTTCCTGTTTGTTCAAAATTAGATGCATCCACATCACTGCTGTTTCTACTGCTTCTAAAGCTGATATAACAACTTCATTTTGAGATTTCAATTGCATCTTCATATAGACATTTCCATTAAAAGGCTGTGAACACTTTAAAAAAGATTCTTACCTTCAGGACTCAAGCAGGGAGATAGTTCAGGCACACCATTCACATTGGGAGAAGACCCACAATGTTGAGGGATCTATGAGGAGATAGAGGAGTCATTTTATAGTACCTCAGGTAGATAATAAGCAATTACACTGGCAAACACAAATACTCTTCAATGCAAGTCTTCAATGCAAAATCATATTTTATGGAGCCACTTGTTAAACTATACAAACACATAGAGACACACAACTGCAGTTTTATTTTAGAAACATTTATCAGGCATTTGACCCAGGAATGAACTGTACAATTGTGAAAAATTTCTCCTGCCATACGGTTAACAAAGTCTTTTCACCACATAGCTTCCTCTAGCTCACCTAAATACCAAATCATGAAGTAAATTGACATGTGAACAGCTAGAAATACATATCACAACCTCAGAAAATCTTCAATTTTAGATGACCACAAAGGTGATACAAAAGAAGGATCAGAAGAAGCAGAAATTCTTGAGAGTTAAAGCTCAAAAATGTACTATTTGTACTTATGTATGTTGAGAAATTTTAGTTAAACAACTTTTAAAATCCTGGATTGACTTATCCGTGGGTCAATGTAAGTATTGAAACTTAAGTCCTATCAAAAAGGAACTACAAAAAGGGAATGCACCTCCCTCTATGAGACAGCTAGAACACTAAGATCTGCCAGGGAGGTCCTGCTCTCAGTCCCGCCATTGTTACAGGTGTGACAATGGCGGGGACAATGGTGGGGACGAGAGACAAGGCCTTCTTGGTGATGGCCCCTCAGCTGAGGAACTCCCTCCCCATTGAAATGAGATCACTCCCCTCCCTCCTACCATTTAGAAAACAACTTAAGACCTGGTTGTTCAAGAAGGCATTCAATGATTAACAGGAATATGGAAATATGAAGTAGTTAAAGATAAAGATGACCTCAGGATCAATGTAAGACCAAAATGTTTTATGTTGTATTTGTGATTGTTGTTATAGTTTTAATGATTTTAATGTATTACTATATGTGGTTAATTTGATATGTGATGTTTTATACATGTATGGCACTGAATTTTGTTGTGAATCGCTTTGAGTCCCCCCATGGGTGAGGACAGCGGTATATAAATACAATAAATAAATAAATACAATAAATATAATTAACTATCTCTTCCTCTGAGGAGAGTGGTGAGAGCTTAAAGATGGGAGAACTCAAAAGAAACACTAATCCCCTCTAGTCTCTCTGCTATGGTGCCACTTTTGGCCATTCTGAATGCCTGTGGGAAAATGGCAGGACGGCCAGTTCTTTGGCATCTTTTTCCTTTGTTTCATCCTTTACATCTTTTGTTACATGCTTCTAAAATTTACCTTCAACATCATTGCATCCTATTCATAATTTTGGTGCCAAAATCTGCCCTCGACTGAGGCACAAGATCACCTTATACACAAGTATACATGGCAGTCAATTACTTTCATAAGTATTCAGTGAGTGCACCCTTCTATTTTTATCAGCTTTTTTTTCCAGAAAATGAGAAATTTCTTGACAGTTGGAAAAGAGTAAGCTTAAAACATATATATTCTTCATATATATATTTATATTTTTCATATTTTTATATGATTTTGACAGTTTCTTATGTTTTAACCCATCCTCTGTTTTTATAAACAGGAGACAGATGCTACTTTTCATAAATAGCAAGATGTGGCACTTAGTTTTTAGATTAAGTTTAAAGACATTTACAGTTACATCCTGCTACACTTTATGTTGATATATTTGTATATGTCTGAATATAGTATGTGTTTGTATTTATTATTCTGAACCATGATAATTTTGTAAACAACTCAAAGTAACAATAATAATAATAATAATAATAATACACTTTATTTATACTCTGTTCTAGCTCCACAGGGGACTCAAAGCGGATTACAACATACACAGATAGGCAAACATTAAATGCCTTTGATATCGTGAAATGACAACACACAAATACACAGAACAAAGATAAAAGCTTCCCCTTTCATCTCCGGCTTCTGTAGGCGGTGCTCAACTCCGGCCATGGAGAAGTACTCTTTCTCTATTTCCAAGCTGAGGAACTTGTTGTTCATAGACACCTTCGGGTTGTGTTTGCCGGCATGGCTGCATGGGTGCCTTTTATTACCTTCCCGCCTAAGCGGTACCTCTTGATCTACTCACATTTGCATGTTTTCCAACTGCTAGGTTGGCAGGAGTTAGGGCTAACAGCAGGAGCTCACCCTGACCTGCAGCTCTGAACTGCCAACCTTTATTATACATTAATAATAAATTTTATGTTCTCAAGTACCAATGTGACTTATTCAAACCTGTCAATTGTGTTTTTTTAAAAAATCCTAAGCATTTTTAGAAAAAAGCTTTTGTGTAGTTGTAACCCAAAGAGTAGTTTCCTTCTTATTAGTTCTGATTTTCATATAAAGAAGAACAGTTACATAACATTTAGAGGCAAGCTGTGTACAAAAGGAAACTGAATCCTACAACTTTCTACCTGTGACAAAGGAAAAAAGGATGAGACTGTTTTTCTTCTGCCAGTTCATTACATTTAATCAAAATGTCATCTGTCTACTCATGTAACACAAAAGAGAGTTAAGAATAAAAACAAACTGTCTTTATGGGATATGTTTACTGGACACGTCCATTAATCTTAGTCATTAGATTAGAATAATGTACCCAGAATAAGTCTTCAAAATGATCTTATTTTGGGCTGGGTCAACATATTGTAAATATTATTTAAGGCTCACTAGGTTTTATATCTTCCATTTCATTAAAAGGAGAGCAATGTCTTCCCCATTGGAAATATATTGAATGCAGGTCATGGAACCAGACTGAAAAGGAAAGGCCCAAGCTCTTATCTTACAAAGTCATGAGTAATCTCAGTACCTGTTATTTTGCATGAGTCATGATGAGGCAGTCAAGCAGCTTTGCATCTTACAGTCTTACAGTTAATAAGTTTAGCTTTCTCTAAAGCTCCAGCAGATCCAAACTAAGTGCACTTTAAAGTCTTAATGTCTAAAAATTATTTACCTTCATAATGACCACATTTTGTGGTCTATTTTGTGGTTACATGGAGCAAAAATAATGAAAAATGAAGTAAAAAGAAATGCACATCTTTCCTACAATCATCAAAGCAGGATTCTATTTTAAAAAACCGGTAAGTGGAATCAAACAAGAACATTCCAGTAAAATTCCTTCCTAGTAGCTAGATTTTGCTTAAGAGCAACTCCAGACCTGTTATTCATGTGTTATTTATCTAGTTTCAATCAACGCGCAATGAAACGCGCCAGTCCCAACTCTGTGGAAAATATCAAGCAGAGAAGTTTCTGTGCACATAGAGGCTCTCCATGTAAAGGAGGACACTGGAAATCCAGGGTACTTGCTTATGTGGAAACTTTCCACATGAACAAGATCCTATCATATTCATCTGTGTCACTTTCCATGTCAGGAAAATGATGAAGTGAATGTAGACTTCCCTCTGGGGAGTTCCATCAACAGAATTATCATGTTGGACCACAGCCATCATGTATTATTTGAGACAACCACATGTTGTTCTTTAACATATCAGTCTGCAAAGTCTTGAAGTTTGCAGTTTACTAGAACCCTTGCTTTCAACAAAACACAATATGGAACAAAAGGCATACATTTAGTGTTTAAAATCTTCAATCCGGGACTTGTTTTGAAGGCAGTGACAAGAAGTCGAGATGGGAAGCTCCCACCCAATTACCTTTTCCTGGCCAAACCAGAGAAAGTAAGGTAGCCCTCCCTCATTCACTATCATGTTTGTAGCATGAGCTAAAAAGACTATGCTACACAGGTCTTTTTGCAGAGAGACTGTGGCAGCCGTTTTTAATAGATGATTACAGGCAGTCCCCAAGTTACAAACAATATAGGGGCCCCTGGTGGTGCAGAGAGTTAAACCACTGAGCTGCTGAATGTACTGACCGAAAAGTCGGCAGTTTGAATCTGGGCAGCACGGTGAGCTCTCACTGTTAGGCCCAGCTTCTGCCAATCAAGGAGTTCAAAAACATGAAAATGTAAGTAGATCAATAGGTACCGCTCAGGTGGGAAGGTAACGGCATGACATGCAGGCTCCTTGGCTTAGAAATGGAGACGAGCACCACCCCCAGAGTCGGACACGACTAGACTTAATGTCAGGGGAAAACCTTTGCATTTATCTTAGGTTTGTTCTTAAGTTGAATTTGTTGGTAAGTCAGAACAGGTACATTTTTTAAGTGAAACACCATCCAAAAATATATTTTTTATAGCTTTGGATAGCATAGAGAAGAGTTAACACCCCTGTGGCATTTGCGTTGCTGTATGTGCCCCTGTTCAGAAGATTTTACCTCACTTTCTGTCCCTATGACAATTGGATTTTGGACAGTTTGGCTTGTTGTGGACACAGGGATTGGAGATAAAGCTTCAGTGGAGACATCTATAATGGTAACTCTTTCAAGAGTGAATTTCCCTTCCTAGGGGTAGATTTATCTCACTTCCTGTTGTCTCAACCCCTTTTGTAAGATAGATGTTTGTAACTCGAGGAGTGTCTGTATTTTAAAAACTATTTGAGCCAAATAAAAAGTGGGGGATGAGGGAGGTGTGTGGGGAGTGGGGTAATGGTGTAGGAGCCCCTTGTCACTGCCTTCATATTCGTTTCCTAACAAAGGCAGGTTGCTTCCCTTGCTCTTCTTCCCTCACTTTTTCTCCAGGCTGAATTCTCATTATTTTTCCTCATTTATATTCCTTTCCTTATCTGCATTTATATAAATGTATACTAAGTTTGGCAACACATTTTATTCCTTCCATCGCAATCTCTCAAATGCTTTTCTATGCATTTTAGGTATGAGCTTTCATGAAAAAAAATGTATGTTAGATTACCCTAAGTTTACCCTCGACTTATCCATGCATCATTGCAAATTTTGGCCCCCAAACCTGTGCATGTCTTCTCCTGCATCCATTGTCCCCTTTCATTCTTGGCTGTATGCTCATTTTTAAAATTGTCACCTAAACTTCAACCGCTTGTCACAGAATACTTAAAATACTTCTGTAGTCTGAATTTAGAATCTGTCAAAAGAA